CGCATACAAGGCTGTTAGTCGAACGAATTTGAGTCTAGTTTGAGTCGAACTTAAAAATTTTACTTCTTAATTCAATCTTAAAAATTATTCAAGTTCGATTCGTTTAAGAAACAAGCCGAGTCTGAACGAGTGAAAAAAAAAAAAAGTCGAACCCGAACCGAACTCGAATATTTGCACATAAACAAATTGAGTCTGTCGAGTTTGAGCCGAACTTATAGGACTTGTTTTCTAAACGAGTCTAAAAATTTGTTTAAATTTAAACTCATTTAAAAAACAAATTGAATAAAACGAATTCAAACCGAAATCAAGTCAATTTCCAATAATTTAGTTTTATTAACAATCCTATACATATAATACCTATGGCTATGGAAAGTGAGCCCCCACATGGTACTTTTCCATTGTTGTTGTGTTGAGGTAGAAAGAAAGGGGGACCCCATCCAGCCTTCGCCAGTTGGCCTAATTTGGTTGTCCCAAGCTGTTTTTGAAGATTAACCCCCCTCCCTCCCACCCACCCAAAAAAAAAAACCCAAACACAAATCAGCCTAGGTTTATCATGTCAATTTTGAATTTTTCGGCCAGTCAAGCCACGATCTAATTATGATATATAAAAAAAAAAGTGTAATATTTTTTATTTTTGGTCTAATTAAAACTTATTACATATAATTTTTTTTATTTTATTTTTTATATAATCAATAATTATAAGGCACCATAATACCAGTTTTTTTTTTTCCAATTCACTGTAAAATTGTAATTAAATAGAAATTGTTTTGTCAATTCTCTCATCCGATGTCTCCCAATAATCTTTTTGATTGGACAACTAGGTGCTGTGTCTTATGTACGCTTTTACCATTTTGGAAGTTGATAGGTTTGTAGCAAAAGAGAGAAAGAAAAGAATTACTCATGCAAGATGGGATAAGGACGAGAGGAAGCAACCAATCCAACCTCTTATCCACTCCAACCTCACTTTCTTGATGTGTTTATTCACAACCCAAGCGAAGAAGACAAAAAACTTAGACAAGGATGGGTTTATTTTTTTACATTTGGTGTTACTCTTTTCTTTAGTTATTTTTTTACAATTCTTTTACTTTAAGATAGGACTAATAATTAAACCGAACTTTACGAACTCGAATCAAGCCTGCCAAATTTGTTTTTTTAAATGAACTTTAAAACTTGTTAAAAATGAACTGAGCGTAAGTCAAGCCCAAAATGAACCGAACCTAAATAGTTTGATTATTTTACGTCTAAACGAACCAAATTTTACGAGTTCGAGACGAACCTTTTTAAAGTTCGTTTTCTAAATAAGCCTGAAAAATTATTTAAATTTGACTCGTTTTAAAACACGAGTCAAGCTTAAGTCAAGTCTTATCCTAGTCGAATCCGAGCAGCTCGGCTCAATTATAAACCCTACCTCAACATTCCATTTTTCTTTTTCTTCCCACCAATATAAGATGGAGCATAAGGAAGTTCAGGCAACAGTCCCGTAGGATAGGATGGAGGGAGAGTCTGTGAGGAAGGAACATAAATTCCGTGCATTGCATTGGTTCTCAGTAATTTCTACATAAAATAAGAGTAATACTCTCGCGTATGACTCTAAATTGAGTGAAGGCTTTCTAGTTTTACAGCTGCAAAGCAAAGTTTCACCAACATTGAGGGAAGGCTTTCTAGTTCTACAGCTGCAAAGCAAAGTTTCCTTTTGAATTTCATGATTGCCTTTGAATTCAGGTATATACAAACCAACAGCTGATGACTTTACTGTTATATATAAAACAAAACCATAATAGAAAAAGGAGACTTTTTTTTAATTTTTTGTGTGCATTGCACTTGAGACAAAAGAACAAACAAAATAGGTATAAGGAAAATAATAATAAAACCTATGTTTTCAAAACATGGAGGAGGAGGAGGAGGATCATTTCGTGCAAGCTAGGCTGAGGTAAAACAAACATGTGGGGAAAATGATAAAATACTTTATGAATTATAAACAAACATTAAAGTGATGCTTCACAAAATCTTGGGCATACTTGTTCAATTGGCATCCCATAAGTTATGCCAAAATAGCATACCTATTTCATAAGATTTATTCATGAGTTATGCCAAAATAGCACACCCAATTCACAAGATTTCAAAAATAACACGAAAACTCTAATCGAGGTTATCATTTCAAACAAAATGACGGATTAGTCTTTCATTTATTTCGTCAAAATTTTATACTTAATTAAATTAAGTTAAAATGGTGACCCCCCAACCACCTTAGGGCCGGGTCGGACCGACCTACTAAACCCCCCACCTAACAACACTTTTGCTCCTTAGCACTTCAGGGCATCTCCAATAAATTTTTTATTCTCACTCAATTATCTAATATAGAGAGTTAACTCATAAAATTTCTTCTTCACTAGACTCTTTAAAATAAAAAATTCAATTTGGTTATTTACATTTGCAGAGTTAAATTCACTCTCTATTTTATTTTTTTAGAACAAAAAAATAATATATTTATCTTTTCATCTATGACATTTAGGATAAATATATCTCATTTAAAATAAAGGAGAAAAAATAAGAGAGAAGTCAAATTTATTGTAAAAAAAGATAAAATATTAAATTCGTTCTCTATTGTAATTTTCTTTACTAAAGATGATCTCCATTTTAGAAAATATGTTGCTCTCTAAAATAGGAAAAAATATTAGGTGTAACTATTATAGTATGTCAGTAGTGTCACGTGGTATAACGATCCATTAATAGGTAAACAAATCAATAAATGGATCCCACTAAAACTAATTACCACTCATTCATGTCATACATAACTATCTCCACGATGAGAAATGAACCGTATTTTACTATTTTTATTCTTTGTTTAGATGGTTACACCTAATATTTACTCCTAAAATAGAGAGCACTGTTAACCATCCTCTCATTAGGTGGGTTAGGGTTTTTTTTTTTTTGATGTGATTTTTATCAATATTGATTCATTTAAAACAAACAGTCTTGGTCAAAGAAGTAGTCTTTTAGGGCTTGGTCATTTTAAATACAAACTGCAGTTACCCAACGACTAATTTAGTCAAATTTATTTAGGGAAGGCACATTCACGAAAGCAATATCTCACTCACCAATTAAGGTAAAAGGATAACAATAATTATAATAGTATAGTCCCACTTCTCTCCATCAAAGCATGGAACGGGATTTACAATTACAAAGGTCAATCCAAGTACACCAAGACACTTGATCAGCACAAAGAATTTAGGGGGCACACTTGGCTTTTTTTTTCATTAATTATAAGTGCAAAATTATGGGCGTGTTTGAATTATATCTCAGAAGTAATACTAAAATATATGTTTTTGAGAATAGATTTAAAAAATTATGTTTTTAATTTTTTGTATCGTAAAACTTGTTTTGTTATATGATACTAAAAACAATTCTATAGAATAAAAAATAGTAAAGTTTGTTTGGATTGAGTGTTTCAAATAATTTTTTTCAATATATTATACCTGATAAAATGCAAAAAAAAAATTAAAAATTAAAAAGAAATTTCCATGTTTACTAGCCGCCATTAACAATCAACACTTTCACAAATCACAAAAATGGTCTTGAAGTCGTGGGAAAAAAATAGATATGAAGTAGATCTTGAAGCCACGCGAAAAAAAAAATAAAAAATAAAACCTAGATATGAAGCATATCCAAAATAATCGTAAAAAAAACAATCCAAATCCACAGCAATCATTAGAGAAATTAACAGATCCAAAGCAATCGCTACACAAAATCAACAAATCCGAAGGAATAAATTATCCGAGCCGATACTCTTAGTCATAGATCTGATTTCACCGATTATAGAGCTTCGTTCCATCTAGTTGCTGAAGCGAAGAGTGTCGGGGAGAGAGAGAGCCAAAAAAAAAAACGCTTTTATACCTGTGAGTTTTAAATGCAGAGTAACCCCTCCAAAATAAATCAAAACATTTTTTAGTTGTTTCTTAAAATTAGTTTTTTATTCTCTAATTTTTTCAAAATTGTTCTGAAAAATAGTCTGACCAAACATGTTTTTACTTATTTTGCAGATAAAAACCAAATATATCCTATGACTTTATTATGAATGTGTGTTTGTATCTATGCTCCTATGAATGCGAAATGCATTCGGAGTCAGTAATATGATGAGAGTGAAGAAGGTACATGAAATCATGAATTACTAATTTATTTATTATTTTTTTCTACATGCTTAGTATAGTGATTTCAGTTATCATCGCCGCGAGAAATATCAAGGAATAAATAATTTGGATTTTCGCTCTGAAAAAAAAAAAAGAGGCTTATTGACTGTGAGTTGCACGTGGTATGCTTGCAAATTTGATTCTATTTTATTAATCAGCCTTGAATGCTTGGTTGGTGGCCTAACACATAATCCTAATACCCTGAGAGAGAGAGATAGAGAAGTTATCCATCTGTAACCAATCCAGCACTGCTACAAAACTGTACAAATATGTTTCATCACTATACCTGTTTCAGTTTTCTTCTATTTTTATATTTTTTGAACCGGTCAAGAATATTTTGATCAATTTACGTATATTTTGACTAATTTCTTCTTTAATTCAGTCAAAGATAGATCATAAATGCCGTGATTAGGATATTCATGAAGGATAAATCTCTCGCAACCTAATCTCAAGGAATTGTCAAGATTTAAACTCATAACTCAGAACGTCTAAATTTATTAGAGATTGTTTCTGTTCGCACTTGAACCACCTTTAAAGTTTGTTTCAATTATGTGATCAATATAATTGAAATGTTTTTTGGCAAAAAACAAAATGAAAAAGTAAGCATTGAATAGAATCACTTAGGATTGATAATGACAAAACCATGAACTTAGGGGGAATTTCGGGAATTAAAAATCGATTCTAAACGAGTTCTATTTCATATATTGTACAAACATTTCCTTTGATACTCTATTCAGACAATCCCTACACAAACAACAATCTCATAACAATTACAATTGCTAAACATTATAAATGTTTCTACACTTAATTTCTTCAATAATTCCAGAGACAATCAAGGTCCACTGGTCCAGCTGAAGTAGTAATTGGATACTCTTCACCCTCATAAGGCCTCTGAGCCATTTCATGTCTGGACAAACCCGAACCGATATCGGTACTCATGTCAGTGTCATTGGAGAATTCTGATTTGCAATTTTGCTTCAAATTTGTTCCGTTGTTCTCCATCAAAACCCTCAGAATGGATTGGTCATGCATCAAAAAGGAATCTGGAAATTGCAGAGTTTCGATGTGTGGCACGAATTGGGGTGTAAAGAATGAGCTTAGACCAGATCTTTCTGAGAAAAGAAATGGAGTATTTGAAATATCAGAAGGCTTTGAAGAAGATGAAGAGGCTATATCTCCATGGGGTTTCTGATCCACCATTGAATTAGAGAAGCAGGACACGTGAGATGTCTCTGCAACTGCAGTTCTTGTCTGGCCATTATGGGGTGATAAATCTTTCAATGGAGGTAAGTTTGAAGGCTCTAGTTCATTACTGTAGTCACTCATTCTGACCAACCCAGAAATATGAGTCTTCTTTCCTCCTGAACTTTTTCGAAAAATCCGAGAAATTACCCATTCATTCTGACACACAAAGAGACAACATTAGAAACATCACCAAGAAACAGAGTGAAAAACAAAAATAGTAGTCTAATACACAAGACACGCATCATTACGGGTTCGGGATTCGAAATCTTGACTCTCAGATCACAATGAAGTAATATTGTCACTGTGTCTAGAATGAAAACATGGTGAAAAAGAGGAAAACAAAGTATGATTATATTTACCTTAGCAGTCTGGGGAAGGTTTTTCATGGAAAACTTGCCCTCCAATCTGTATTCATGCATGACCCAATTGGTTTTTTCTCCTTTTGGAGCCCTGCCTTTGTAGAAAACCAAAGTTTTCTTCATCCCAACCAGTGTTTTCCCTCTGAAAATTTCCTTATCTTTGCCTGTGGCCTTCCAATAGCCAGCAACAGTAGCCCTGTTTGTCCTCAAACCAGTTGGGTACTTTCTATCTCTAACACAAAAGAAATACCACTCTTTTTCACCCATTTTGGCCTTCCCTAAAGAATCACAAACAATTCAACAAATCACAATTAAGAAAGACTACTATCAAATTCAAGAGAGAGAAGATATAAAAAAAGAAGAAGAAGAAAGACTTACAGGGTAAATCCCAAGGCTCAACCTTATTCAAGTCAACCTCTCCAATGGCTATGGCATAAAAGCTCTTGTCAAGAACCTTTAGGGATAGATAATGAGTTATAAGCTCTTCGTCAGTCGGATGGAATCGAAAACCTGGAGGCAATTCCAGTTGGTCATCCTCTGTAGCAAGACCAGCAATGTTTTCCATGTCTATAGCTTCTAAAACCCCTCTGTTTCAAAGATGGAAACCTTCAAGATTTTTCTCAATTCTAAGAAGTTTCTAATACCAAAATCTCAAAAAATAAAATAAACCCTGATCTTATAAATTTCTTTAGAGAGAGGAAAAGCAGAGAGGAACCAGCTTAAGCATAGCAAAATTACCAACACTGTTTGAAAGCTTTTTCAATTAGGAAGAAAGGCTGGAGGGGCATTTATGGAGCTTTGAAAAAACATGTAGGGACCGAGAGGAGGAGAGAGAATTGTCTAACTGAAGGACTGAAAGGTGTTACGAGGAAAAGAACTCCATAAATAGAGATTTTTGAGAGAGAAGAAACGTGGTCTGTAAGGTAACTTTTGGTGGGCAGTTTTCTGGCTTTTAGTTCGCCCTTTTTCAACTTTATTGTAATTATTAGTTTTTTCTTGCTACAGATCTTCCAAAAAAACTTGCGCTGATTATTCGATCGAGTTTTTGAGTCTATCGTCGAAACTCAAACTAGTTTAAAAACATATTATTTTATATTATAGATAGATCCCCTAATGATCAAGAGTGACTAGCCGTTAGGAAAATATAAGAAATATCGAACTTTAAATCTATTTTTTGGAAGATGAGAAATTTGATCATTGAATTACCTCTAAAAATTTGTAATTATTAATTTCTTTCTTCTTGAATTTGACCAAGAACAGCTGATCTCCATGCCCTGCCAGTAAATATGTTAAAAAATTATTATAAAAAATTCCTTTTTTAATTAAATAAATTGATAGGTTGTAATCATGTTTGTAATAGTTACGTAAGGATGGGAATTCAAAAGATTGAAATAACTGTGTTAGTTGTCATTAGTTTAACCAAAAATATCTAATTCTAATAAAAAATAACCTGAAAACAAATCTATCAATTTGTTTTGGTGCCAAAAATTAAAAGGAAAAGGAAAAGGAAAAGAAAAAGGACATCTCTCCCAACACCCTGGCATCATAACCAGCAATCTGTCTGAATTGCAGAAGATTCCAAAAACCCTCGTCATTTTTCAAATACCAGCCAAACTCTCTCTCTCTCTCTCTCTCTCTCTCTCTCTCTCTCTCTCGGCCAACAAATTGAATCTTATCTTCATATATTTTTTTCGTTTATTTATGTCACGTCACTCATTTTTATCTAAAGTTAAATTATCTCATTTTTGATTAATTTTTAGTTAAATATAAATTTTATTTTAGACATTTATATAATATAAAAAATATGACAAATTTCGATAAATTCATTCGTCGATTTCAAATAAATTCATCTAATAATCACTAACATCCCTATCAAAAATATTAATATTATACCGCACTTTCAAACACGAGTTACCTCTAATTATTCATATATGATATTATAGACATGCTAATAGTTTTTTGAAGAAAATTAATTTTAAAATACAAATTGTTATTTCATATAGTGGAGTGGGATCAATTTTTTGCAAACTTGGATATTTTTTTATATTGTATCATGTTTTTAGTAGATACGGATTATGATTAATTTAACAATGTTTTAATAGAAACAATAATATTACAATCTAATTAATTTATCTAGCTAAAAAAAATGTAATCAATCTATATAATATAATTCGATGTTCAAGCATCTTACAATAAAATTTCAGTATAAGTAAAAGAGAAAAATGTTAATAGAGGATCGAGGGAGAAGCCGTAATAAATGACAAGTTAGATACTCAACAAAGTAAAATAAATCAATAATTAACTTTATTATAATTAAAACAAGGATTATTCATTGACAGCCACATATTATTCAATTTAATTAATCGTATAATTCATATTTTTATAGATAAAATGCAAAAATAATTATTTAAAATTGTTTACGTACAACTTGGTTTAACAGATTATTTTTAATCATAATTTAATTCAAAAAACTTATAAATTATTGATAGTCGTGATAAATTATTGGTGGAAGCAGTAGAACATGCATGCTCTTTAAATGATGCCAATTATATGGCTCTCGACGATGGAGAGCTTTCAGTTATACTAATTATTGATCCTATACTGTCACACTCTATGCCTTATCAAGACATGCTCATTTTTATTTTCTTATTGCTGTCAGAATGTTCGTATAAATTTATCCGTGTTTCAATAAATTTTTTTTCTAATTGGGTTAAAGACGACTCATTCACATCAAAATTAGAAAATTCATAAAATATAAATTTTTCGTGGCCCAACTCTCACATTGAGATTAGGAGTTCAAGTTTTAGAATCTCCATTGAAATTTAGTAGTTGACCGTTATAATAGCCTAAGTAAGTCTGGTCCCGAGAGGTATTTCAGGCGCGGTTAGGGGGCCTTATGATCCCACCGGAGAAGGTTTATTGGGGTGGTCACTAGACGCTCTTCTCTCAATCTTTATTTTAAGCGGAGCATGTGAACGTAATTTACTTTTCTTTCTTATGTATTCAAGGAGTTGTCTACGAAATTTTTTTTTTAAAAAAAATTGGGTATCGTATTTATAATTACTCAAAAAATGGTAATTTTTTTATACTGAAGAAAGAGTGATAAAAATAACTATTATAACAGGGATAAAAATATTCACAAAAAATGATAAATCACTCACAAAAATAAGAATTTTTTAATTATAAAATAACCCAAAAAATTTACAAAATACCCATTAAAGTAGTAAATTCTAAAAGTCTCATACCTGTGGTACCGTCCATGTATTCAATGGTATAATCAACTTGATAACTTCAATTAGCGAAATATTAAACAACAATTAAGTGAGCCGCATTCCCATGCAATTAATTACACGTTCTCTTTCCTCAGAATTAGATTCCTCTTAATCCAATCCGTTGAAAAATGTGATTGCACTTTCAGTCGAAAATACCAAAACATCCTTTCCTTTCCTTCAATTTGACGAGGACATATTAATCATTACACGTCCACTAGGGCCCACATTTTGTAGCGTGTTATTATTTGAAAATAGATAATCAACTTGTACATTCTTAATTAAACCCGAAAAGTCCGGAACTAACCCTTTCAGTAATTAGAAAAAAAAAAAAAAAAATATATATATATATATATATATAATTAATTAATTAATTTTCTTGATACACGTGTCTTATTCGGAGGAATTTAAAACGTCTAAGTAACTACTATAAGCATCGCACGGCTGCGATTAAATCGCCCCCTGCCGACGGAAAGTTACCCAAAACTATCCATTTGGAGAGTTCGAATTGAATGGTTTGGGAAAAGGTCAAAATCAGACCTAACCTATGTTTGATTAATGAAACATAGCGTTGAGTTGACAATGTGGGCCATGTCACTTCGGTTCCGACATGACGCGAAGATGGGGAACAGACACGTGGACCAATCTGGTTGGTCGAAAAGTCTAATTCGAGTGTTTTTAACTTTTTTGGTTTGGTATTGACAATTTATATTAAGTATGGGCTTAGAAGTTTGATTGCAAATCTACATTGAGCTTGTCTATTGGTTTGACTGTTGATTAATTAGCAGTTGTTGATTTGCTTAATAAAAAAAGTCTAAATAAATTTTTGTCTCACTTATTTGGGCATGCTTTAATATAAATTACGGCTTTTATTGATTAAAAATTAATTTTATGTGATTATTAGAACCCGAAATGAGTTTAAAGAATTGAAGTTTGATTGCAAATTTGCATTTGAATATGTTTACATTTGAGTTGAAAACTCTAGTGATTTGACTGTTGATTAATTAAGTATTTGTTGTTTTGTTTAATAAAAGAGTTGAAATACTTTTTTCTCTCATTTATTTGGACATTCTTTAATGTAAATTACGAATTTTATCGATTAAAAATGGACTTTATGTGATTGTTAGAACCCAAATGAGTTTAAAGAATTTAAGTTTGATTGCAAATCTACATTGACTTTGTTCACATTTGAGTTGAAAACTCTAGTGGTTTGACTGTTGATAAATTAACCATTTGTTAATTTGAAAAATAAAAGAGTTGAAATACTTTTTTCTCTCGTTTTATTTGGATATTCTTTAATGTAAATTACAGCTTTCATCGATTAAAAATGGATTTTATGTGATTATTATAACCCGAACTCAATGCATTTGAATTTACGACTCACCTCTTGTTCAATCACGAAATCAACTTGCGGGTTTCTCTATAGTGTTTTTCGATCTTCTCATGATTAATTAGTTAAATTAGAATAGGTTTTTGTCGACGAAAAATGCTATACAACTCAAATGAAACTCAAAAATTATAACTCAAATACATATCATCTTCTAGATAAGTGTTAGAGGAATGGATTCCACTGAAAAAGTTAATGGGGCCCTTTCATCCAAGTAATAATATACATTTGAGATACAATTTTTTGAATTTCATTTAAATTGTATAACATTACTCTAAAAAGTGATTTAGTTAAACATCATTTGATCCACATGATGATAACAAGGGGTTGAGGAAATTAGGTTACAATGAACACTAGAAAGTTTAGTTGCTGATTCAGTGTACATATATCTGTTATTAGGGTAAGATATTTCATATTTTAGCCGGTGTACATATTTAGACCATCTAAATAGTTAGCAAATAACAAAAGTAATAAGGAGATTAGCTTAAAGTGTCTAATCAAAAATGGAAAAGTTATTTTGCTTTTTTAAAAGGGTGCCATTTGAATGACTAGTATCCTAAATTCAACGCGAGCTCAATACGAAAATATTCAGTATTTAGGCATAAATTTTTAGTACGTGCATGCAATCTAAATTCAAATTACATTCGATCTATGCTCGAGTTGAAACGTTGAAATTTTCAATACCAAACGCTAATTTGTCTGGAATTCACTTATTTGGATTCAACTCAATTTCAATCCCAAATGAACCTAGGATTTGGTTCAAGATATGAAATCCGAATTATCAAATGTAAACTTAGTCAAACATTAGATTCGAGTTTAGCTCAAGTTCAAGTTTTCAAATTCAAATGAAACCCAAATAATTGTAATTTATATACGTATCATTCCTCGGATGAGTATGTCTCGTTAATTTTTTTAGTAAGATCTACTCATTCTAACTCATCCTGCATTTGAGTTTTAACTTTTGGATTTCATTTGAATTATGTAATATTTTCTTTCTTTATTATCTATATTCTTAAACTTGGTGTCTAGTAGAATATACTCTTGGTATTAAAAAATATTTTAATTATTCTTAACAAAGAAGTTTACAAATCATTTTGAAACAGTCTTGTTAAAGGATAATATATAAAAATGTTGCTTAGTATTTATAGATCTCTTTGTTGCTAATTTAATTATATTATTTTTTGTTCCTTAAAATGTCATCACATGCATAAGCCTTTGAATTTTCAAACTGATGAGTCATGAAGGTGTAAGCTGCAGCTAACTATTGTGTGCTATGAGAAAGATCTCAGTGATGGTAGATTCTGGTTGGTTAATTTGATAACCACCAAGGCTCCTAACTATTCCTAGTTTTTTTAATAGCCCACAATTTTTATTTTTTTTTCAATCTCCACATTTTAATATTATTTAAGATTTAATTAACTTGTCATAAATTCTACATTGTTCTGTTTTTTTTAGTCAAGCACTACTACAGGGAAGGGGGACGATGATGCTTGAACTTATAAGTTTAAAATACAACAGCGGAGATGGTGATCATTAGACTAATCGCTAATCTCATTTTTATATCTAATATACAGGGCGAGATGGATGAATGAATATTAATATAAGTTGCATTTCTAAGTAATAGTAATGAAGTTAAATGGCATTAATAAGAATGAAATGTTATCTATTTTTTTTTAGTTATTAAAATAAAATAGTGTTATTAACTATTTTAATATGGGCATATTGATCAATTAAAAAAATTTCATGGTAAGTAACTTTTATTAGTGAGCATTGTTACACTTACCAAATTATTTATCAAAATTTGTATACCAAATCAATTTAAGTGGTTGGAGTAATGAGTCCCACTAACTCACTAAACATTTTTTTTTTTTTTTGGTTTAATGGTTAAGGGTGTCTAAACTAGCTTACATGTCTCTCGACTAATTTCTTTCCTGATCCAATCAAAAGCAGACCATCCACGTCGGAACTAAAATATTCATAAAGGATAAATCCCTCTTGACCTGGTCCTAATGGACCACTAAACACTCCATGCATATGATTTTACTGCATCATTTCACATTATATATTTACTAAATTTATTTAGGATGCATAGTTTTATTCTTTATTAATAGCGTAGATGTAGATGTTGATGTAAATATAGATTTACTAACGACATTTACATTAAATATTCAAAAATGTTATGATCAAAGATCAAACTATCGTTTTGCAACGATCGAAATGCTTGAAAGTTTTCATTTTCAAGGAAACCGAAACGAATCAGTAATGGAATCGAAATTCTAATGTTTCGAGGTATTTCAAAATTTTTTCAAGATTTATTATAATATTTTAATGCATGTATTTCAAGATATTTTGATATATTAAAATCAATGTTTTAGAAAAATAATTTTTAAATTTTTTATTTTTTTCAATTATGTTTCTGAAATGAATCAAAATATTTTTGAAACCCATCGAAACATTTATGTTTCCTAAGTGACTAAAATAATAACTATTACATTAAATACTCAAAAAATCCTATTATGTCTAAATCATATTCCAATTTTTTTCATCCTAAATACAATTTCATCACACATATTCTATTTCGAGGCTTAAAATAACCACATATTTATCCGAAGTGCGGTGCAAATGCATTTGAGATAGAAAGTTTAAAATACGATTTGAATTACATAACAGTTGTGATGGGGGGGCTGACCCACCCTAAAAAAATTATTTTTATTATACATGCGTTATATTTCTTAGGTTATTTTAATGGTGCCCCCATTATCTAGTAGTGCCCACTCATTATCCATATAGGAATAAGCCCATTGTCTATTTATTTACACTTCTTTAGTCTATTTTTTGTTTATTTTATTATGATTAGTCCCGGTCTATTTGGAATTATTTTCTCTTTGGAATTCTTTTATTTGTTAAGTTGACATTCCAATTAATTTGTTTAAAGACTTTTTCAAGTCTTAGTTTACAGATATCTTCGTCCAATAGTAATGTTATGTTTTGACAATTTTTTTATGGACAAGTATACAGTATAACAAAAAAAAAAATCGGTATTGTACTTGTCATTCAATATTAATCGGTATTTTGTGCAAAGAAAATGTGAATTATATGAGTAATTAAATTAAATATTGAATAATTAATTTATATTTTAATTATTGTTAAATTTAATTATTAATTTATTCTATAAATTTTTAAGTACCTAATTTGCTATTTACTTAGGTATCTCTCCAACTCCTTTAAGCATTTATACATCTAATTATGTTATATAATTAGTAATTTTAGTTTGTTAAATAGATTGATTAAATCACTTATAATATTATTATATTGTTAAATATTAAAAAAATATAATATAATATATATTTGATCGTGAAATTTAATCTGATAATGACATGTAAATAATAATTTAACATATATAGGGTTTTATTTCTTCCTACATATATAAAAAATTGTATGTAAGTGTACTAATAATAAATTAATTCAAAAAAATTTAAAAGCTCTTATAAAATAATCCAAAACAAGCTAAAAATCATATAAGAGTGAAAAATAAAAATTAGATAAAAATATGTAGGTCGGTATAATTAATTTTATTATAATAATTAGGGATAAAATAAAAAATTAATTTTTTTAAAAAAATACTGATATTTATAAATAGTATAGATTAGACACGGTGTAATTAAGTATTAAATATATTATCCAAAAGTTCTTGCCATTTCTTATAAAATAATATTAAATATATTATCTTATTTTTATGGATTGTAAATTAAAAAAAAAATTGAAACTTGTTAAATTGTCTGCGGCTGTGGTCCATATTCTGGCTCCGCCCCTGATTACATAGGCCAGGCCCATCATGAGCATTTTCTCCGCCTAACAAATCAATTAACGGAACAGAATCGTACACATAGACAGACATCTGGAAGCAATGTAATTAATGATTAGAAAACGAACGACAACGGACAAGAGCTCCAACCGCCACCAACGGTCGACGCTATGGCGACAATGCACAAACTTCCGAACCCTAAAGCAAATCCACGGTCACATGATCATCAAAGGCTTCAACTCCAATCTCTCAGCTCTCAGAGAACTCATATATGCTTCAGTTTTAGTAATCCCATCCGCCATAAACTATGCACACCAATTGTTCGGTCTAATTACTCAACCAGATCTCTTCATATGGAACACAATGCTCAGAGGCTCAGCTCAGAGCCCCAACCCATCAATGGCCATTTCTTACTATACAGAGTTGGAAAAACAAAGTATACGGCCCGATCGCTATACGTTTCCTTTTGTACTGAAGGCTTGTACTAAGCTTTCTTGGGTTAATTTTGGTTTTGTGATTCATGGGAAGATTGTAAAACATGGGTTTGAATCGAATAAGTTTGCGAGGAATACCCTTATTTATTTTCATGCTAATTGTGGGGATTTAAGTATTGCAAGTGCGCTTTTTGATGGTTCGTTAGAGAGGGATGTTGTGGCGTGGTCGGCTTTGACTGCTGGCTATGCAAGGAGAGGGGAGTTGGGTGCCGCGAGGAAACTTTTTGATGAAATGCCTGAGAAAGATTTGGTATCTTGGAATGTGATGATTACTGGCTATGTGAAACGAGGGGAGATGGAAAATGCGAGGGAATTGTTCAATGAGGTGCCAGAGCGGGATGTTGTGACTTGGAATGCAATGATCTCGGGGTATGTTCTTAGTGGGTTGCATGAGCAGGCGTTGGGGATGTATGAAGAGATGAGAAAATTGGGAGAACAACCCGACGAGGTAACCATGTTGAGTCTTTTGTCTGCCTGTGTGGATTCAGGAGCTTTAGATGTCGGGGAGAAGATACATCGCTCCATTTTGGAGATGGGAGAGGGGGACTTGAGTGTTGTGATTGGGAATGCACTTATAGACATGTATTCTAAGTGTGGGAGCATTGAGAAATCACTTGAAGTGTTTCGAGGTATGAGAGAGAAAGAAACGACTACATGGAATTCGATAATTGGAGGGTTAGCTTTCCATGGACACTCTGAGGAATCCATTTCTCTTTTCAAAGAGATGCGTAGACTGAAAATCAGGCCAAATGAGATTACATTTGTAGGGGTATTTGTTGCCTGTAGTCATGCTGGGAAAGTTGATGAAGGACGTGGATACTTCAAACTTATGCGGGATGAGTATAATATTGAGCCAAACATAAGGCATTATGGTTGTATGGTGGATTTGCTAGGGCGTGCAGGGCTATTGAATGAAGCGTTTGAGTTTGTGAACACGATGGAGGTTGAGCCCAATGCTATTGTTTGGAGGACTCTACTTGGGGCTTGTAAGATTCATGGTAATGTTGAGTTGGGGAGGCTTGCAAATGAACAGCTACTGAGAATGAGACGGGATCATAGCGGTGACTATGTATTACTCTCAAACATATTTGCCTCACATGGTGAATGGGATGGTGCTGAAAGGGTGAGAAAGTTGATGGATGATAGTGGGGTTAGGAAAGAGCCTGGGTGTAGCCTAATTGAAGCAGACAACAAAGCTCTCATGCATTTCCTTTTTGATTCTAAACCTAAAACAATTTCAAGAAAGGGAGAGCGTCCATTTGCGAACAGGTAAGGAATCTACCCATGCTATGCTTGTTGTAACATAGAAATAATCACATGCACATGTTACGGCCATAGTCCTCTTTTTTTCTAGATAACTTGCACTCATATATGTATTTTTCTAATTTATTCATTAATGCAAGTGGCACACAAGGAGATATTGATGCCAAAATGTTAATTATGTTCATTGCTTGACTGCTTGATCAATTTAGCTTAGATAAAAAGGGAGAATTTATATTGCAATCAGTAATGGTTTTCTAAATGACAGACATAATTTTCCTTTAGCCTCCATTAGTGAAGCAGTTAAGCTTACAGCATGCCTTGGCTGTGAAGTTTTTGTATTCACCACATACAACATAATGAATTGAGAAATGTAAAAGAGTCTGATAATTCATACAGCTTCTAGTAACATTGTATGGACAAAGGATTGATCTTCCTTCTTTTTCTTTAGCAATAAGCTATGACATGCTACTTCCAGTTGAATTAGAACTCACCTATTTTTTTGCTGAAACCTTTGGGGGGCTTCCACACTAAAAGTTGTAAGACAAAATATCCACTCTGGAGACTGCAACATTTTTGTGCCTATTGCCAGTTTTAACGTAAGGCTATATTTATGTTCCCAATATGGAGGGTTCAGCAATGGTTCTAGAAAATTCATAGTTGACAACTATTGAGTTTTTTCCGTTTTTTTTTTCATTTTTGGAAAGCACAAAAGAAATTGATGAATGCAAATCCAGAAGAAGCTGCTTGCTTGACTCTATCCTTTATCCATTGGTGATTTTCTTTTGCAACATGTGTTAACACACTTTGAATTTCATAGTTTTGTGTCTTAGCTCATTCCTCACAACATCATGTTTAGCCCGCAAGGCGTAATATAATAGCACTTGCATTTATGCTAAAAGTAGATCACATATCTTCATATTGCGGTAGAATTTATCAATTTACCACGGAAAAATAAAGAACCTTACAAATAAAAGAGAATTCAACAAAGAGAGTTGGGGTTGGGTGAAAAAATGAAATAACATGAACCACACTCTCTTGCAGACACAAACTAACATTCTTCAGCTTGCACTCATTGAACATGCAGTATTGAAATTGGCAACGATTTGCCTAGATACATCAATGTCGAGAAAGGGCAACAGAAGACAACAAGATCAACACAAGTAACAAAACAACTCCTATAAAGGATCCAACCAAAGAACCAGAGACCCGCTCACAGAACGAGTTGAACTGTTGGCAGATGGCAAACCAGTTGGCCCCATCGTTGCCTTTATGTGCTAGGTATACAATGGATGCAGCAGCAGAACATCCAGCAGTCAACAGCGCAAGCATCACCTTCACAAAGTGAAACTCATTCTTGTAAGTGAACATTGTAAGTCATCATATTCATGGACCATTTAGGACTTAAGTAACATGTTCATTAAACTGCAAGTTAACAAAAGTCTCAAGGAGTTACCGTGTCAAAGGAGATCAAGATTACTCTGGTCAGTGTTGCACCACTCTTCAGCATGTGGAAGATGGATAGTGCTAGAGAAAGAACCAGATAAGCACTTACGATGCCATTCGCAGCCACAAAGAACCTGTCAGTAATCCACAAAGTCATGTGCTAGATAATATAGACATAGACATAGATACGAGTTCACTCAATTTTGAGGGAAAGTGATCGAAAAATCCATGTCAAACAACCATGGTCACTTACGTGAAGGTTGGAAGATCATTATGCCCGGCCTTAAACGGAATGAACCGAGCGAAAAAAGGTAGTGTTGCATTAGTTGTTCCCATGGCAACAGCACCTCCTAAGGTACCAACAATGGCTACCAGTCTCAGAATAAGATCAATTTTTGCAATCCCTTTGTTAACATCTTTCGGGGTAGAACTTTTCGAGTGTTGGGTATTTTGTTGAACAATAGGTAAAACTAAGTTACCGTCCAATATGGAGGCATCGTCGAGGTCGAGAGCAACTGTCTTCATCTTCTTGGGAAAGGTAGCAAATAGGTCACCTAGTTTACAAGAGGGTTTTTAATGTGGTTGAGCTGAGTATAGTTGAAGAGGGGAGAGGGGAAGTAATGAATTTATACTTGTTCTGAAAGTGAAAACAAGTACGTTTCCACCATGTAAAGCAGTCAACTGACATTCGGCATGGTAGGTTGGAGCGTTTGGTGGCATGAAAACTCTACTACTCGGGTCAACTAAGGCCTAATGCTCTTCTAAATAATGACAATATTCACCATTACCATTACAAACCTCAAACTCAACACGAAATTAAAAATAGTAGTACCCTTTAAGTGTGCCCCATGTGTAGCACGTTAGTCATTTGCAGTGTTCACGTCAGCCTAGTGTTTGCTCGTCAGCAGCATGCCACAAGAATGAACACCGCAGAAGATGAATAATCTCAAACTTATATCGAATTAATTTCAAACCATATACAGTTTTTTGTGCTCACTTTCTTGTTGTCTACTTGATTTTTAAAAATTTGAACTTCAAAGAATTTGATTTTATCGTTTATTATACATACTTTTGTGGAAATTTTATGGAGAAAATAATTGTTTTAAGATTTGATTTTTGAGTTACATGGGATAATTTTTGAAAAAAAATATTAAAATACTGAGTTCGGCTTCATATCGTGTTTGAATCGACCTTAAACTCGGCTCGATTACCAACATGGCATAAATGTACAAGTCAAACAACATTAGAGTTGGAAACTGAAGGCATATTGCAATGCTAAGTTTGTTGGTCCTCCAACATGATTTGAATAAAGAAGTAAATCTTTGAGGTATTTTCTGGGGAAATAGTTTAGGTGGTAAGGGAGGGATGACCTTTTGTTGTTCTACCGGAAACAAGTCAAGTACTTCAACAGTCAAATCGCTTTTAACAATTCGCTAGTGGCAGTTTGCCCACAAACTTAAGAAATTAGTTGCGAAGTGTCATTATTCCTAACTTTTTTTTAGATAAACCTCATCAACTCCCGAGTTTTGTGCATATAAAACTCATCAACAAGTTTAGCCTTATGCGTAATAAGCTAGCCTCGACACAGTTCAAGGATTCAGTTGTCACGGGAGACCAGAGGTCTATTTGATTTGTATCTTAAAAAACAGTATCTAAAAACTATTTTTAGGAAGAGTTTTAAGAAAGTGTTTTTGTAAAATATGTTTGGTTATATATTTTTGATAATAGTTTTAAAAAACAAAAATTATAAAATTTGTTTGGACAATAATCCACAATTTTCACCTCTTTTCAACTCTCTGTCTCTCTCTCTCTCTCTCTCTTTTATTGTGCATCAAGACCACCACCGAAACTGACAAAGCACCGAAACCGACAACCACCCAAAACTCACAATTACCACCGAAATCCATAACCACCACTGAAACCCACAATCGCCACTAGTGTCTTGAACCCAGATGCAAAAAAAAAAGACACTTAAAAGAACAGAGAAGACGTCGGAGATCGCCAGAGTTTTTGAACCCAAATCGTGGGTGTGTTTCATCTGGATTTGGCAAAGTGGAGAGAGAAATGGTCTGTGTTTCATCTCTGTTTCGTCTGGATAGTGTCGTTGCAGAGAGAGCGAAAAAGAGAAAGAGAATGGAGATGAAGAAAGACACATGTGAAGGGATTTTATACTTCAACAAAAAAAAATGCATTTTGCTGCTAAGGAAGTTTGATGGGGTGGACCTCATTAAAGAGGAGAGGTTGTTTCTCTTGTTTTCTATTATAACTTGAAAACTCAGAAAATATCATTTTGTTGTTCTCTAAAATCACATCTCAATTCCCAAAATTTTCAAAAAATTGGAGAACAAAAAAATCTAAGCACACAACATTCTCCTTATTTTTAGAGTTTTAAAAACAAAAACCTATTTTTGAAAACCAAACCAGACCAAACATGCCCTAGGTCTCCGCATGGGAACCTCCTTCCTTACTCGTGGTGTAAAATGGGCTGGCCCACAACCCGTTTGGTAATGAGCACGACATGAAACAAGTAATGTCCGTTCAGGCCCACTGATGACCCCGTGCAGTGCTGGGCCTGCTTTTCTACTCTATTACATTTGGTATCACATGAAGCCCATTCCGTACCCGAGCATGATTCCGGTACAAGTAAATATTGGGTGTAACAGTTACACAACGTCATTAATATTATGTGGTATCACCAATTAATTATAAAATAATAAATAGAAGTGGCAGATGTCACTAGTTTAACATGAAAGTTATTAGATAAACTGATTATTTGTAGTGATTAAAACAATGAAACCTACATCACAAATTGATGACACCATATGACACTAATAACGTGGTATTTTCGTTACGCTCGTTACGCTCAATATTTACTCGACATGTTCTTAACAAGTTGTAATTGTCTTGTTAGGTTTGGGTTCCCCTAGTCGGAAGGAAATTTAATTGATTTCTAATGGCATAAAGTCTTCAAACGTAGAATAGCAAAGCAGTTTAACCATTGAGCTCAACCAAAGCCTACGTTGGAGATTATTTTTACTTTGAAACCAGTGTTTTTTCTTTCTTTTCCCCTTGTCCCTCAATGGCCAAGAAATATTGGGTATAACAGTGATATCATGTCATTATTAATACGTATTATTACTATTCAATAATAAACCTACACATGGGCAAAGTGAACTCCGCATGAAATGATGTGACAGGGTGGTTACTTGAATTTGTGGGATTCACCTGTTTATTTGTTATGTTTTTATTAAATTATAATATTACGAAACAATGATGATATAGTATCACCGTTACACCAAATATTTTTTCTTTAATAGCCCTTGTGCTACCTCATTTTTTAAAAAATATTAGGTATAACGGTGACACAACGTCATCATTGACTCATGATGTCATTATCCAATAATAAACGTAAACCTTACTTAAATAGTTATTAAATTACATAATAAAGTAGTTATTAAAATATGTGGGATCCACCTACACATATGTTATTTTATCATTGAATGATTACATCGTGTCAACATAATTGCATGGTTTCTGTTGGACCCAATTTTTTTTCCTCATTTTTATGCAATTGTGTGTGTGTGAGAGAGAGAGAGAGAGGGAGAGAGGGAGCAGATAAAAAACTTGCAACAAGCCATGAACTTTGATAGAGGAGGAAGATAACTAAAACGAAAATCCAATGGAAATACACTTTCAAGACCATTACAAATTAAACAGAAAATAAGAAAACCAACGCAGTCGTAATACACACACAAGCAGACTCATTCTTGAAAACGAAAGCTAACAATCACCAACAATGCTCATAGCAAAGTGCTTAGTCTCGAAATGAGAATGTGTGATCTTCCACGCAACATCAACGGCGAGAAAGGCTCACTGCAGACAGCAAGATTAGCAGTACAAGCAGAAGAATTCCTCCAAAGGATCCGATCAAAGAACCCGAAATGCGTTCACAGAAGGAGTTGAACTGTTGGCAGATGGCAAACCAGTTGGCCCGAGTATTGCCCTTGTGTGCTAAATACACAATTGCTGCTGCTGCTGAAGCTCCAGCCGTCAATAGACCCAGCATTCCCTTCACAGTTTCAAAATTAAGCATTATTGTTCATATGCAATTTCCAAGGATTATTATGTTTTTTTGGATCAATTTCCAAGAATTATGACTCGCCATAAAACATGGGAGATGTTTGAGAGAGAGAGAGAGAGACGAGACTGACGAGAGCATAAGATACTTAGATTTGGTATGTGTATTAAAAAATAATATTTAAAAATTATTTTTAGGAAGAATTTAAAAAAATTATTTTTGGCGTTTTTTTATGTCGCAAAATTTGTTTGATTATATAAACTTGTTTAGATAATAACTCAAAAAACATTAAAACTTGGCGGTGTGGTGAAAGTGTTAGGGTAGTGGTGTGGTGGCCGTGGTGGTGGGTGGTGTTGATGGAAGGGATGGTGGGGTGTGGTGGTGGGGTGGTGTTAATGGTGGTGGGAGTATGGTGGTGGGAATATGGTGGCGGTGGTGGACGAAATGGTAGTGGTGGTGTTTTTTAAATTTCGGAAAGATTGTTTCAAAAAATACAGAAAATAATTTTAATTTGTTCTCTAAATCTATCCAGTTTTTTGTTTTCAATTTAAAAAAAAAAAAAAACTTAGTTAAACAACTTTTCTTCTAGAAATTGTTTTCCGAAAACAAAAAACAGTTTTTTAAATTACCAAACAAAATCAAGATTTTAGATTAGTTGTTAGTTTAACATGACATGATGATCCAAAATTTAGCGCATTTGTATTGAAATATATAAACTAATGTTACATATTCTCCATCAGTTTAAGCTCTTTGATAAGTCGATGTTTGTTTGAAAAACTGTTTGATATTAATCAACATATTTTCTATTAAGTAACTTCAAACATTTTGCCTATGCAATCCTTGAATCATGGATTAAGTAGGTCCAACTCCAAGGAATTACCGTATCAAAGAAGATCAAGATTATTCTACTGCCCCGTGCGCCGCTCCTCATGATGTGGAAGATGGACAGTGCCAGAGAAAGAACCAGATAGGCACTTACAATTGAATTTGCCACCACGAAAAACCTGTTGTTATACACACACAGTTATAGAGTAAATACCATATTCTGTAAGAACATGGAATAGTAGAGAACAACCCCTCTAGCCCTCAAAGGACATAGGGCCATGGCACCCAACAGTAACAAGAACAACCATCTTATAGTGTGATCACCTATTCCCTCCTGCTGTGAGAGGGAAATAGGAACAATTGTTATTGCCTTGTTTTTGTCGCATTCTCGTGGAATGAGCACATGTTTCATCCTAATCTCTCGGGATCTAAGAGGAGTTACCTATTTTCTTCTACCTTCTCGAATTTTTAAAGTATTTTTTTCTCTCAAGACTATGTGATGTGTAGTGTCATACATTGCCAAGGAGAGCATGTTCCCCGTAGACTTGGGGGTTAATGAACAACTTTAAGAGCATTGGAAACTTACGTGAACATTGGAAGATCATTGTACTTGGCCCTAAACCGAATGAACTGTGTGAAAAATGGAAGTGATTCATCGGTCGTTCCCATGGCGATTGCACTTCCTAAGGTTGCAATGATCGCTATAATTCTAAAAATGAAGTCTAGTACAGCCACCCCTCTGTTCACCCCAGGTTGTGGAGTCGAACCCATGGCGGCCTGACCAGGTTCAAGAGCCCCTGCCTTCATTGTCTTAGCTGAATAGTTAGAAGCACAAACTTTCAAGAATGGGTTTGGTTTCAGAAGAAACAGTTAGGCTGTGAGTGCATTGTAGAGAAGGAGGCATGTCAATTTATAGATGTTGTGAAAAACAATGAAGGTTCAGAGCTACACCCTACAAAGCATAGTGGCATATCATGGTAGGTTGATAGTCTTAGTTGTCATTACGTAGCCCACTCTTTTCTTTTCTTGGTTTTTTTTTTTTTTTATTAATTATAAGATATTTAGATCAGATTAGTCGTATTTCAGCTAATTTCCTCTTTGGTTCGATAAAAAACAGACCATCCACGTTAGGACTAAGAAATTCACGAGAGATAAATCCTTCATAGTCCGATCCTAATGAAAGTCGCCAAGTTTGAATTCAAAATATTTAGGTTTGCAGTTTATTTCTATCTCCATTGAACAATCCTCGATTGCATAACCCACTATTTCATGAGACATGAGTAACATGATTTACCAACTAAAGCAAGCACAAAAGCTTTGTTTTAGTGGTTTTTTTTTTTTTTAGCTGTGAAGAAATTGAGGCACATGGAAAGGGAATACTAGAAAAGTAAATACAAAAACTAAGCTCTGTTTTAGTGTTTGGTTTGGGAGGAAAGGAAACAGAATTTTTTATTTTTTTTTGAACTAGAAACATTAGTATTCGAAAAATATAGATTGTAAGAAGCTTACAGAAGTCACTTGGAGGACTACTAACCCAGCCAAGAGGTAATGACTGGTTCAAAAATTATGATGCTATTTAATATACTAGCTTGTTGAACGTTCTTTTTACTCGGACAAAATTCAAGATATAATATTTTACCGTTCTTCTGTTGTCTCATTTGATAATTGAAAATTTTCATGTGGGCATGTCTAGTTTGAACTTAGTTGAATGACCTTGATATTATCATTCTCTATGGTAGTATTAACCATAGAGAATTGAACAGAAATTAAAAGAAGATTTCTTTAATCTTCTAAAAGGATTTTTCGGGATAATTACCATCACCTCTCTTCAGGCTTGCCTAATGACGGCTACATACACATGAAAGACGGATTACTCCCCCTTTCAATGATGTTAATTCTTATTTACTTACCTCATTAACCCTACTTTGAAAATAAATTTACCTGATCAAACTAGACCCTCAACCTCTTCTTGAGAGAGCATAAATGCTTTACAAAACTTGTTACAGACATTTAAAACAAGAGGGAGTACAAGTTAATTTGTCGAATTTCTTTCTTTTCCCTCTTTCTCCCACACTGAAAAGATGCAAGTCTACCTGCCCGTACTTGCTCTATTATCATACAGGATATGATAAGCTAAATATGATTCGTGGTACTTGTTCTACCTGCCCACTGTACTTGCTCAATTATCATATACTTATTATATCCCAACTCTAATTCACTGCATGTTCCATCTCCACCAAACCTGAAACATTTTCCCAATTTGGAAATGGTGGGACTTGCCAAAAAAAAGTCTCTTTTTGGTTAAAAAGGAGGGCTAATATTATTTTACACCCTCAAATATAAAAAATTTTAATTTATACACTTAATATTATAAATTTATTGCAATATAGACTTGACCCAAACTATTGTTCATGATGGTGAGGTATGCCCACCACTGCAGATCTTCGTCTGTGATCAATTTAACACTATTTTTGTGTCTCGAAGATAAGGTTTCATTTAATTAGATAGAGTTTAACCCTATCATGTGCAACTCACACGACGAACCAATAGTAACATTGAACGATAATCTAGACAAGATCTATATTGCTATCAATTCATAATATTGAAGATGTAAATTGAGGTTTTTAATGTTTGATGATAAAAATTGAAAATTGAAATATCTTTCAAGGTACAAAGTGAGATTGTCTCTTAAAAATTCAAAAAAGAAGTAGGTATGACATTGTCTTGGTATACATGAATAATAAAATATTGTATAAGTGCAATGAATAATTGACACTTATCACCTTGTCAATATATAAGACTTATCACCAGATAATATTAATAATACAGAGTGTGTTAAACTCATACAAAAATTTTCAAAAAAAAAAAAAAGATTTTCTTCTTCGGGGTTTTGACACATCAGATTTGATGCTTCTGAGGAGGTGCATTAAAGTGGGGAGGTTGAGACCTAGGGGAGGAGCAAACCAAGGTTGAGTTGGTACATACGCGGCATGTGATAAACCAATCCACTTTGGTCCTTTCCCTTTTTGTTACATAATGAAATACATATCGATGTGTTTATAGTGGTGGGGGCTGGGGCTGGCTTTTTCTCGTAGGTGATTACATATTCGAACCTGATCCCCCTCATATGGGGCCAGATTGGGTCTACCCAGCTCATAGCCCACCAAAACTTCCGTGCATTGTTCATTTGAGTCTGTCCCAATGGATCTTTAGCATGTTGAGATGTCAATTGTGTCGTATTAGATTTGTGTCATGTCACTTTCGATCATGTTATTTTCATGTCGTATCACTTTTGGTACGTATTGGATTCGTGTTAATAAAAAATTATTTAATTTGACAACAACTAATATAATACTATTTAAAAAATTATAAAATTATTATTTTTTATCTGTAATATTCATTAAATACTTATTTTCTATTTACAGTATTCATTAATCGTGTTATTCGTATCGAATCTTAATTTAACTCATTTATTACTCATGTCAACTAATTGTTTTATTTTTGGGTTCAAGTCGGGTTCGGTTTTAGTCGGATTTGTGTTAACGAAAAAAATTGAGTTAAAATATGTTTTTGGAGTTGTATCGGACCAATAGGGTCAGGTAGCGGGCTTCGTCAACCGGCCTATTCGATCTAGAGGGTAGAAAACGATGACTTCCCATTGTTTGGACTATTGTGCCATCCACAGGCCACTGGCCTAATGATCCGGCCAATTGGCCAATGGCCATTCGGGACCCTTAACATCCATCCCTCCTATTCGGACGGGTTAAACGCGTTGAAGAGCCGATTTTAATTTAATCTTAAGTATATAATTTTAATTTAATCATAACCCGATCTTAACCTGAAATACTCAACTCGAGTACTGCCCAAATTAAATTTAGACGAGTTCGGGTTGAATTCGAATTACTTAGTTCAGGTTGATTTCAAATTTGAATTCGAGTTATTTAATTCGAATTAAAATTTGTGCTGTGTTTGTTAAAGTGAATTATGAATAGTAATTGTAAGTTATGTTACTGAATCTAGTGATTTATATATTTAATTTTAAATATGTTCAAATTGAGCACAATTTATATATTCGGATTGACCTCGATAAATCGAGACCTCAACCTGAGTATTGCCTGAATTTAATTTGGATTAGTGTTTTTCAGCCCAAGCCCAACCCAAGGATTAAAAATGGGGTTTTTAAGCGTGGGTACAATTTTTTAGGCTTATTTAGGTAAAAGTGTATGGATAAGTTGTTTATTCTATTAAGTACAATTTTTATAAAAAAATTTGTGTTTAGGTACAAAATTCAAATGAATTAAAATCTTTTTTACTTAAACATTCATCCTTAATTTATGCAACAATTATTGACAGTTATTTTAGAAACAACAGCATTTTTAAATTTATGCAATCATCATTGACAGTTATTTGAGGAAACAAATATGTAAAAATTACATATTTGATATCTTTAATTTTTGAATTTTGAATGAGCAATTTTATATGCAGTGAAAGTTTGTGTTCAACTAATCCCTGCAGTAAGACAAAAAATTTATGAAATAACACAAAAAGTCTTCAAACGCCTCTGCAATTTGTTAAAAAAAAATTGATCTTTGTAGTAAGAGTTTTCTTCAACGCCTGTGTTCATCTGATCTCGGCAATAAGAGTCTTATTCAACGATCGATTTGCTTCTTCGGTGGTAGATTTATTCGAAAAAATGAACTGTAAATACCAATCATTGTTTATAACTGTTTTTTAATAGCTATAACTATTTTTTTGCTATAGACATTAATGAACGTTTTCGAAAAAAAGTTATTATGTCACCGTTTGTTATTTAATTTATTTAATCCTCATGTTATGAAGCAAAGATTGTTGTATGTTGTTCGTTGTTCAGATGAAAGGAAAAAAAAAACTGTTTTGGTTTTTAATAGGTGTAACTGTTTTTTAATCAGAATTACGTTTTAGTGTAACTGCTCTTGTATGCAATTTTTCAGCCAATATCTATTTTGAAAGATCCTGTATATTGTAACTATTTTTTGTTTTATCTTTTTCTTCTAATTTGTGATCATAAATAGTTATTTAAAACAATTACGTAACTACTTTTAATCAAAAAATCAAACAACACAGATTGTGGGAAAAAAAATTAATGAATGTCACATGCAATTTCCGGTTAAGAAGTTGTTGAAGATGATTCATAATTACTTGATCGTAGGACACAATGAACAATAACTCGTATTTTTCTTTTTTTGGACAATTAACCGTAACTTGTCTTCCTCGTTTTTTTAGACAATGAACAATAACTCAGATTTCTTTGTTTTTTTTGGACGATGAACAATCACAGTTCTTATATTCCAATCCCTCTTTCAAAGAAGATGGATTTTGATAATTAAACCCCCTATTTTACCTCTCACTTGATTTTAGTTAAAAAAAACAGATGAAAGATGATAAATTTTCATATATTAACTATTTATCGATGGCAATAGTGATATTTTAAAAAAATATGCAGTTTACCAAAAATAAGTTTTTGAATTGTACTTTTATTTATATAAATCTAAAAAATTACACTGACTTCTAAATTGCCCATTAAAAATCTTAACCTAAGTCTTTTTTTTTGGGGGTTGGCCTACCCAACTTACACTCCAAATCCCTGCCAAAGCTATGGTTTAGATAGAAATTTTGCAGAGTCTCTTATGCTTCGTTTGATACGATGAAAAAATAAAAAGATTGAAAGTTGAAAGTATGAAAAGTTAAGGAAGAAAAATAGGAAGAATAAAAAAATAAATGGATTAATTTTTTTTTCAATTTATCAAAATCAATCCCTCCAAAATTATGAGAAAAATAAATGAAAAGTTAATTATGTGTATTAAAATATATATTATTTATTTATATATCCTTTGATATATACATATAACATATTTATCATATGTAAACATTAATTTCATATATAGATATAATGATAAAATATGTATTTATATATTTCATAAAATATAAAAAAGTATTTTTTCTATCTTACCAAAAAAAAAAAAATCAATCATTCGTACTTTCTATTTATCTTACTAAACACAAAGAAGGAAAGAAAAGATTTCTCTCTTGAAAAATAAAAAATGTATCGCTATTACTTTTCGTTCTTTCTTTTTTCCGTCCATCCTATCAAACGGGCTATTAGAGATGGACAACCCACGCATGGAGAACTACCATCGTTTTTCCAAACTGGCTTACTCGTGGCGGCCACAGAGACTCTTTCTTTCCTAACTTTGGTCAAAACTGTCTCCAACTCCCAATAGTACTTCCAACCCTTAAAATGTTTCGTTTAACTCCACAATTCGTAATGATCTGACTATCATTCATCCTACAAAATGCTTGAGTTCCCATAATAGCTACGGCAATGCACAAACTTCCCATTACCGTTGAAAAGACTAAAAGAACGGGGAATGACTACCTTTAATAAAGCACAGCACAGACAAATCCCTATAGCTCTTCTTGCATGTCTCACTATCTTATGTTAAAAGCAATTGTGGCATTTTTTTTTAAATAAAGTATAACACGCCTTTGAAAACGGGAGGTTAGAGGACATGAGATTCTGTAATGGAGACTGGAGAGATGGCATAACTCAGGCGTGTAGACTGGAGTTGTGCCCATGGTGAGGGGTAGTGTGAGTTAGGGGAAGCAAGACCCATGCTGATTATATGCCTGTGCGAAGATCTATCTCCCACCCTTCCTTTGCTTATTATCACTACTTTGTTTTCCCTACTAGAGCACACAATCCCTAGTAAGGGACAAACCCCAGTAGACTGTAGTTTGAGGGGTGGTTTCTAGGAGCACAGCGCCAAATTCTAGCAAAGAGATGATATTTATACGATTTTTCATAGCTTGACATGTAAAAACTATAGGTAGGGGACTAAGTAGTCAGCACTATTGAGTCATACAAACATTGCATTATTGGAAACTCAATGGCGAATAACAGTCTACCATAATAAAACTTTCAAAGCATTCATTCATGCAGACAACTAAACCAACTCCACTTGTAGGGGGCTTTGGATTGGAGGAAGTAACATACTAACAAATTGACTAAAACTACAACAAATATAAGAAAGAATAATTATGCTGTGCTACCTGAGTTTGACCATGGGATCCTTCCTAGAAAACCCACTTTCAGAAAGAAGCCTTGACAGAAAATGATTGCTGTTGTTCCCATTATCCTTGCCACGCGTATTGCTTAAACTGCTTATGAGAGTCCAGTGAGTCTCAAAGTCTGGTTCATAACCATTTTGTTGCATTGTTTCCAAGACCTTTGATGCCTTGCCAAGATTGTTTTCAAAACTGTACCGATTAATCACAAAACAATACATCTCCCGGCTTGGACTCTCACCTATTTGAACCATGGAATTAAGTAGCTTTTCTGCTTCAGCAGTGTGTCCATTCTCACAAAAGTGGAAAATAAGAGTGTTCCACGTGTCGAAGGTTGGCTTAAGGTTTCTCTCCAACATCTCAGTAAGGAAATCCAGAGCTTGGTCCAATCTAAGACATTTGCAGAAGCCTTGGATAACAGTATCGTAACTGGTAGGATGTGGGATGTTTCCTTTCTTCAACATTACGTCTAGAAGATGAACTGCCTTGTCTTGTCTTCCACACCAACAAATCCGCTTGATTAGATGATCATAATTGATGTTGTCAGGATTTAGGCCTTTTTGTTCCATCCGTTCCAAAAAGTCCATTGCTTCTTGTAGTTTACCACAAGTAAGGAGTCCCTCAACAATACATTTTTGAATGGTTGAACCATGAACCCACCCTCTTGATTCCATTTCTCTACTCAACTCTTGGGCTTTCACGAGCTCCCCATCACAGCATAGGCGACTTACTACTGCTCTCAAATTGCGATCACTGGGTCTAAATTCTTCACGTATCATACTAGTTAGATATTGCAGAGAACGTGACATAGCTTTACTGCAACAAAATCCATGAACAACGAAATTATAAGTGACTCCATTGACTTGCAACCCTTTCTGTTGAAGTTCATCTAAAAGGCTATCCACAAGCAATCTATTTCCCGATAAGAAGAGATAAAATATCAGAATATTGTAAACAACAATATATGGAAGATTGCTTTCCTTAAGCATCAGCTCTTTTATGCTAAATGCAAAAGAAGCCCTACCCTCCATACACATCAGGCGCACCAAATTCCGGTAACTTGAGATTGAGATGCTTAAGTTCTTCTTAATCATAACACCAAGTAGCTCCCGAACTTTCCAGAAGCTCCTAGCTTTGCAATACCCTTGAACCAGCGTGTTATAAACCTCGTCATCTGGAGGTAATCCCTTCGAAAGCATATCCTGGAATAGCTTGGCCACTTCACCAACCATCCCTTTCTTGAAGAATCCACTCATCAAAATGCAATAAAAGGAACGCAAATCGGAAGGTTGCTCTCTCAATCCCATCTCTTTCAGAACAGCTGCTTGCTCTAACTTACCAGCCCTACACAGATGAGGAATTAATAGGACAGAAGCATCCAAGGGTGGAGCCAAATTCTTAGCAAGCATAATATCAAGCATCATGAAGGCTTCTATAAACCGTTTCTCCTTACAAAAGCTTTTTATAAGATGGCTATAAGCCATGCAATTCAAGATGCAACCACGTTTTAAAAGTTCATCCACTAAAACATGTGCAGCGCTGGTAAAACCTGTATCACAAGTTATTTTGAGGAAAGCAGGACATGAATCCAATAACATGTGAGGGTATGCCACCAGCAAGGTTTCAAAAAGCTCCAATGCTTCCTTAAGCATTTTTTTCTGGCAAAGACAACCCAGAAGAGCTTTACAGTCCTTTATCTGAGGTAACCATTTATCTCCTCGTGCGAGTTCCCAGCAATCAATGAGGCCTTTCAAGTTTCTTTTCTTGCATAAACCCAGTAGGAGAGAAGTATATGTATCATTCTCAATTTCCAAATGGCTTCGGAGCATTTCATTAAAAATTACCATTGCCTTGTATGTGAGACCCTGTTTACAATGTGCTTGGACAAGCAAATTGAGAGTTTCTTGGTCTAGTTGATCTATTGATTTCGGTACTTTATCCAGGAACCAGGTTAGTGGCTTAACACTGCAATGGGATGCACGGAGACCTTTCATTAATGTTGAGAAAGCAAGCAAAGAAAGGTCTTGCCCCCAACGAGCCAGTTCATCTACCATCACTGCTGCTGTTTTAAGATTTCCAACAGCGCAATCAGTCAGTAAAAGGGAGTTAAAACAGGGGACCATGGCATTATCAAGAACAGCTGTCATAGTTTTCTCATACTCATCCAGGTCTGTTTCTAAATAGAGTCCATTCCCAAGATTATCAAAAAACTCTGGTTTAGAAAAACCCACATTATTGTCCCGTCTCACCTTTACAGTCAATGGATTGAGCCCCAATGACAACAATGCTTTGGATAGAGGATCTTCTATAGATGAGAGCTGGATCAACCCACGGTCCACCATGTCGTTAACCGTCACATTCACTTCGTCAAACTGTCTAGCTTTACAGTATCCTGCTAAAAGAACTCTACAAGTTGAGATGTCGGGTGCTATTCCCCTCTCATCCATATCGTGAAGAATGTCTCGGGCGTGCTTCCACATACCCTCCTTGAAGACACCACTGATAAGAGCATTATAGGTATACGTATGGGGTTTTAGGCATCTTGCCAAAACCTCTGATAGATAGATGAAGGCATTCTTCAGTTTTCCTTCACGGCAACTCCAACCTATCAAGATCCCAAAGGTTATCTCATCAGGGCAGAAACCTAAATGTTCAAACTCCTGCATGAACAAGTCTGCTCTTTCTGTGCCCAAATTTCTACACAGAGAAAATATGATCTTATTGCCAACCACAACATCAGGTGCAGACTTCATTTCAACAAAAAAATTCAGTAGATCATCATAATCCTTCTTCTCACAGTAACCACTGGCAATTATATTAATAACTACGTTACTGGGTACCATTCCAAGAGTAATAGTTTTCTTAAAGAGATTTCTGGCGTCCTGAACTTTTCCATCACGGCAAAGAAGTTTAATCACATCTTCATAAATACCTTTTTCAACTATACCCATACCCAACCCAATCTCTAGCATATCCAGACAAACTCGGTATGTTAACTGGGTTTCATTCCTTTGAACTGAAAATTTAAGCAAATTACAATAACACAAAAAAGATGGGACTAAACCTAGCCCTCTCATCCGATCATATGCTGAAATGGCCCTGTCTAGTTCAATATCACTGACATACCCTTCAATTAACTTACTGAAAATTTCATGATTATCCAACACAAGTCCTCGATTTTCCATTGTTGAAAGCAAGAATTCAACATCCCTAAACAATCCCACCTGAACAAGCATCGAGGCCATGAGCTTGCAAGACTGAGGAAGATGCTCAAAATCCCCACTTTGCTTACTAGCCCACTTGAAAATTCCCCATAAAGATTCAACCTTTTCAGCCTCAAATTCAAATTTACCACTATTATAATCAAAACCCAATAATATTTCAAGAACATCTTGGCGTTTTAGCTCTGAAACCCTCCAAAATCTACGGATGGTTTCAGGGGATAGATTAGAAAGTTTGAGAAGATAGTCTTTGAGAGAAGAGTTGTCAAAGGTCTCAACTTTATTATCCCAATGATGTGAACATCTCAATATGACTGATTTTGCAATGCCAGAAAAGTCAATTGAAGATATATCTACGTGTTGGTCGTTTGTTTTGTGGGTAGGACATGACGATGAAGATGACGATTGTGGTTCTTCAAGACATTTGGTGGAGAAGTGATATTTAATGGGAGAGAAAGAGAAAATAGAGTAAACCTGTTTGATTTGAAGCTTGTGTGGTTGAAGACTGAACAGAATTTGGAGCATTCGACTGCTGAAAGCTGTAGTGCTGGTGCGGGTTCTTCTCATCTATGGTCGCATTTTTGGGCTTTCTGGGCAAAATTCCGTTCCCTTGTTCTTATCATCAATTGAAAATTTTCCTCGTACCGGAAAAAGATCGACATCAAAACGTCGTCGTACGGTTTTGTGGATGAGAGCAAGAACTTTGCTCTTCGAGCCAAATTTGGGTTGGACTTAAATTCAATTTGCATGGGATTCGATTCGGTTTAAAATAAGTCAAATTTAAACTATTTTTTAAGATCGATTTAAAGTCGACTATTTTTTAAATCAACTAAATTTAAATAATTTTTTAAAATCTTTTAAAAAAACAAAATTAACAGACTAGGCTCAATTTTCACTATAAGCTTTAGTTCGATTATCAGCCCGATAACAAGCATAGCCGTGGACTGCCTAAGGTCGGAAAATGACCTGTGGGCCACAGCTAATCCAATAGACCAGTGGCCCAATAGCTCATAGGCTAGCCCTCCACCAGTGGTTAGTTCGGTAGCCCAACTGATTGGACTATTATCCATTATGGCTGATTCGACAGACAAACCCATGCAATGTAAAATTTGTCGTCCTCGTGAATAATTAATGGTAGGTCTGTGAATTATGTTGGGTGGGACGCCTCTTGTATAAAGTTTTAATAGGTTTGTATCAAAAAATATTTGATGGGCTTATTAATTTGAGTCTAATGAATAATGTTCTATTGAATTTATGTTGTATATGAATCGCATATAATTAATATATAAACGATTCGTGTTGTATATTTTTTTTAATTAGTTTGATTCATACCCGATTTATTTATTAATTGTATCGTATTTGATCCATTTGTTTACAAAATGGTTAGCTTAAGTAATACCCAAATTTCTCTAATTGTGTATTGTGTTGGTGAATCATATCATATTTTAATATATTCTTAATCAAGGGCAGAATTTCTTGGCCCGTGATTCATCATGACCGTTACTAGATGGTTATGGTTAGGCCCATCCTTTACCTTTTAGCAAGACTTAAGATTGTAAGGAGTAATCCGTGTCTCAAAACACGGTACAACAGGAATAATGTAAAGAGAAATATTATTAATTATTAAGTAAGTATATTTGAAACAGTCGAACGGACTTGTTAAGGCCTGGCCAATTTTATATTATTTATTCGTGACCTCCAATTCACTCCTCCGTCCAAGGTCTTTTGAAATTCTCTCTCTCTCTCTGCTTCCTCCCATTCGTTTTCAGCCCTTCATCTCGATCGACACCATGGGGTTGACTTTCTGCTTCGCTTAAACCTGGGATTGTTATATGAATGACTGTACAAACAACCCAAGAGGCAAAGAGAGAAATCCATATCATCAACCAATAGCTTCACCTCCTCCAAGGGCTGACTTTTTGTGGCTGTGAGTTTGGTTTTTCAGAGAAGGGCAGAGAGGAGGAAGAGAAGAAGGCAAATTAAGAGAGATGAATCAGAACTTGAGTGCTATGCTGATTGGATTGGTTGGTGCAGCAATCACCCTCTCTGCTTATTCACAAACTCTCATCTCCTCAACCCAATGTATCCTAGTTGGCCTTCTTGTTCTCATGTTTGGTCTCCTTGTCAGGGAAGGTCTCATCTCTCTCTAGCCGACAACACAAGCATCCCTGCTATGTTTTTTCTTCATTTTTCGAATCCGAGTTCTTCAGAAACTGGGGATGGAAAATCACTGTAATCCACCTGTTCTGTATCCTGAATTCAGATATGTGCAAGGTTCCCTTAATATTATCTTACATTCGTTAGGAGATTTATGTTATTTGATGTTGTTCCTTCCTTTTTTGGAGTATGTGCTTTTGGATCTTGTCTAATCATCGTTTGTTTTTTCAGAACCATATCTAATCTGTATAGTACATTATAAGATTATCAATGTGTTTAGGTTCATGCTTCAATCATCTTCATCTTTCAATCATCCTATTCTAATTCAAGTTCGATTTTTGAATTCATTCAAGATGGTTTCAAAATGAACTTGTGTATATTCAATTGATTTCTGTTAAATTAGTGTGTGTGTGTGTGACCATCCTTTCTCCCTTCGCCAAAGAAAAGGCTGATAGGAAATTGAAAGACATAAAAAAAAAAAAGTTAGCAAAGTATAGTCCGTAAAGTACTGCGTAAAGAGAAAAAGATTATCTTCTCAAAATGAACAATCTAATAGCTTTCCGCCTTTTTTTTTCTAATCAAATTAGAAGTTTATTTTTTGGTCATTTACTTCAGTTTTATAAGAATTAGACAAGAACAACATAGTCTAGTAAGACAAAACAGATTTCTTTAAATTTTTTTGTTCAAATCGAATCAAACTAACTAATTACAAATGAAACTAAAGAGGAGGTTTAAAGCTTGAAACAAAGCTTCCCTTTTTAATCCACCATCAAACACCCAATCACAAGTCTCAAGAGCCATGACAAGAACATGGCTGATGAGCATTCATGGCCATTATTGAAGTTACTGAAAAATCTGTGTCCCCTGAATCTGAATTACAAGATGTACTTGAGGAGCACCTCCACCACAAATGGATACTTTTAGAATATACAAGTACAATTTGTCAAAAAAAAAAAAAATCATGTATAACTATGTCAGCTTGCTATCACTGCATAGATTGATCAATTTTTTTCCTTTCTTCTACTACATCGATCATCGATCCAATCCTAATGCAGACAGTTTTACCCTAGGTGGATGCTTCAAACCATTCTTTGGCGCTGCATGAAAACAAACATGACCATTCCAATACATAAGAGAATGTGTGTGTCTGTGTGCGCTCGTGTTTATGTAGGAGTTATTGGGCTTATAATCAACACTTGCGAAATTGGAAGCAAACCTGTGCAAAAGGATATATAGGTCAAAGAACAATTAGAAGCATGCAACGTACTTCAAAGGTTCATCTGCAAAACTTATAATAACAGGTTAAGTAAACAATATACTGTAAACTCAAGATAAATCGTTAGTATAATTTTCAGCTCATCGTTAGTAAATCGTGAGAACCAAAAAAAAAAAATTAATTTTTAACGTAAATGATGGATATAATGGAGATCGGCTTGGGGCGTTCGCTGATCGCTCCCTTTCACATATAAATAATTCCAATCTACATAAACAATATCAACAGACTTCTTGAAAAATTTAAACCACCACCCTTCAAAGCCAAATTCTTGATTCAATATCCATTATCACTGCCATCATAAATCTAGCATGAGAAAATAAGGTAATAATGTAGCCAGAAATGACTTGCCAGTCAATGTGTACCACCACATGTAAAGATAAACACTTCAGTGAACTTATATAAATAGTCATGATACGAATTTTTTTTTTTTTTTTTTTAGTCCTGGATGTCTAAGTGAGTGTTGGCTACCCTCTCGAGTTTAGTGGCTCCTCACCGTGACTTGATATGTGCATATAAGATTGCCGGCAAGTCATCCTTGGCTGCACCAAGTAACCTTATTCCCACATGCAAGACTTTAGATGACTAAAACCCTTATCAGAACAACAACAAAAAAAAAAAAAAAGTAGCTCCACATCATAACACAAAAATCTGTCATCCCAAACATTGTCAAACCCATCATGAAGTTAACCCTTTTTTGTCCTAAAAACCCAACCAATCCCATAAGGATTACACTGCCCTAAACTCACAGATGGGTGCAGGAATTCTTTTCTCAAAGGAGAAACCCACATTCCCTATTGAATGAACAAACAAAAACTTCCTTTTTCTTAAAAAAAAAACATTTTCCCAAAGAGGGAGTCTGTGAAAACAGGTAGAGAAGAAGAAGGTGATTGGACTACAAGACCCACATGACAGGATATGGACGAATGAGGTTTGAAGCAAAGGCATGGACTCTTGGAATTGTTTATAAAGAAGTTTCTTACTGTCAATGAAATGGAAATGTTTAGTATTTATTGTGTGCAGATGGGCAGCTTTAGATCTATCAAATCTGTGTTTTTAACCCAATGGGTACTAGATATGATTCAGTAATTTGGAGGGTACGGATGTGGTTTTTCTTTTTTTTTTTTATTTTTAATAGTTGAGAGTATTTGAATCAATTTATAAATATTTATACTTTTTTTTTTTGTTCGGTCAAAAACAAACTATTCACATTGAAACGAAGATATTCTGAAGGATAAATTTATCATAATATAATTTTAAAAAATTGTCAAAAATTTTAACTTAAGATTTCAAAATTTACAATTTGTCATCAATATCATATGCATCACGTTTGAAATTGATGTGACCTTCCATAGGTGCAAATATCAAGACCAATTAAAGAAAAATTAACACACCCATAGACCTATCTCCGTCACCTACGTACATCATATCCTTCAGCTACTGCAGTCCTAACCAGAGGAAGCTTTATACATCTCCTTTAATCTTCAAAAAGATACCAATAAAGATGTATAAGTTATTTATTTTTTATACACTCAAATTCTTAATTTTTATCTATTAGATTATATTTTTTAGGTTAAATTTCACTGAAAGGGAGAATTTGGCATTGATCTTAGGACTAATCTTAATTTTTTTTTTAATATAATTTGACCACAAAAAAGTTACCTTTAGTATAACATCATACAAGAAAAAAAAAAAGGGAAATTTGGAATCGTTTTAAAGAATTCTAGATAGAGAAAAAATTGACGAGAAATTGAAGTCTAAGCAACAGATCTCGAGTTCTACAACTTCGAAAATGGACACAAATCTTCGAAACATTTGATCCTTTAATAAAAGTTATGGAAGATGCCTCTTTTAACTTGTTCTGCTCTACTACTCTCGAAAAAATAATTACAACGTTATACATCAAAAATATAATTATATGAAGCCCTCGGGATCTTAATGTTTTTATTGGATTTAGTGTAGAATTTTACCCTTCGTCTTTTTCAAGTGAAATATTTTTGTAATTTTGCGGGTGTTCCCTGTCTCTGAATAACACAGCCAATAAACAGGTCAAATTAATGGCGTTAGGGCAGACGGCTAGAGGCAGAGCACTATACACTGCCATTGGCAGCGCCACATGAGACTTTCTTAGCATTCATTAGTTGCTTGTACTTTGTGGTTAGAGTTAGGTGGATTACTTTACTTCATTTCACCATATTATTGTCATCAATTATTATACTATGGGTTTGACAACAAGTGAGAAACTTACCAAATTTACAGAAAACCTCACACTCCCCTCCCCCCCAAAAAAAAAAAAAAAAAAAAGATCTAATGATGTAACTTCAAATGCAACCGTTGAATTAGTTATGAGCTTCAATGTCAAATGAAACTCACGACCAATCCAATAATTGTATTGAATTATGTCATTAAATTATGTCCAAATAATATTTTCCAAACAAAATAATCCTATCGACTAGATCTGTGAAATCTAAACCAATCAAATTTGAGCCATGTCTTCTAAATGTCTTCTAAATGATCATAATACGACCGCACATTTAATATCGAATTAATAGATAAATCTCACTTCTCTTTCCCCCTATCAAGGGATAAATTATCCACAAAAGAGATTGTGCAAACTCTTACCCTCAATTTAGTTTAGAAGCGGCTCAAATGCCTCTATGCTATATAGACTGTGTTGGGCATGCTTTTTTGACAAAAAAACACTTTCCAAGACAACATTCACGACTAAAAAGAACGGGACGGTATCAACAATAAGAGAGCTGTTCTCCTTTGTCAACTCCTTGCTACAAAAAAAAATTTTCACTTGAATTTAGATCTCTTCAGCACCATCACAATTTTTCTCAAGAAGTAGATTTAGCAATCATTAGTTCAACTGAAACGAGCTCTCTTTTATGTACTCCATCAACATACAATAGAGAAAAATTAAAAGGAGACATACCAAAAGGGATCTAAATCCCGACTCACTTCGCACGAGTCACTGCTTTCCAGACTCTTTTGCGAGTGAGGGACACAGTTGAAAAAGGCTCTAGAGTGCGGAACTCGAAATATCAGTTGAAAAAATCATAGGCACATTCCTAGATCACCCCGGTAAGAATGTGGAGAAAAACCAATGTCTTTCTTGGCTTGCGCACCGAAGGCTCTTTTAGAATTTTCGACCAATTTCCGACCCCCTCTTTAGGGAGGGGGGGGGGGGGGGAACCAATATAAATTGTATCAATACAACTGATCAATTTGAAGATTTTACATCTTCCAATCTTGGGCTGATTACAATTAAAAGAACAGAAGAAGAATTTATACAGAAATCAGTATGAATGGTATTCAAGCTGTTTTAATGAAGAGATGGGAGAGGTGGTCAGTTCGACAAGCTTCGGGCATAAAGCATCTCCGGCACAGTGCCAGATCCTACAAACACAGTACATGCTCACCCATCTTTCATCTTATTTCCTCTTTACTTCCAGCAAACACATTTCCCATTCACTTTGCAAGTGGACGACTCGTCTCCACCCTGCAGTTTGTCGCCTATGTGCTCACCATTTGCTGACCATTCCAGACTTGACCATAACACAAAATCCACCAAAGCCTTTCAAAACTTTCACCATGCCAATCAATCTAATATTTTAGTAGGAACCACAGAAAACAACTTACATGGAAATGAACGCGAGGAAAGAAGGGGATTGGGGGATGCCATTTAGTCCACATACGACCGCTGTACCACTGGAGATGATACTTCTGATGCCATTAAAAGCGTAGTAGTGCCAACATGCATCGTCCCTGTTTTCTACTACTTTTATGATAAATGCCGAGTAATTGCTAGGTTCTGTTTGCACAAATAACGAATATGAGATTGGATAGCTTACCCTAAAACAGTAAGAGAATTGAGCACCAAGATGCATCGCAAAATGCTCGAGATACCAGGTTTGATTTAAAAGAAAACATACAGCAACTACATACAAGCCAAATTCAAGAAGAAAAAGGCCAGGGAAAAGAAAGGAGCTGAGTGAGGTGAGGATTACATGCATAATCAAGCTAATTAATTAATCACTCTTTGTACCCCGGGGCTGAGGGAGGAGGGTATTATATGCATAATCAAGTAAATTAATTAATCATTCTTTGCACCCCCTCAACCCATACACAGAAGAAGCAATAGAGAATGACATGTTATACACACAGCAAAAAATAAAAACTTCACCTACCCGGCCATTTATGGCAAAATGACTTGGTTATCGTTTGATAACACATTTTTACTAATCTTGTTATAGTAAAAAACGTAATTTAGTCATAAAAGCAAAGCATTCTATGAATCTTAAAATTACACATTTATATGGGGTACAATGCAAGTAACAATTACGCCTGGAAAAAGCAAAAAACTAAATATGCCTAGCCAATGTTACTTCAAAAAGTACTTTAAAAAAGTACTAAAAGATAAAAATACTTTAATAAGTGTTACCTAACGGTATCTTACTTTGTGTTGCACTGAAGCCATAGTTTGCCAAACAAATCTAGCACAAAAAACTTCCAAAAAATAAGAGTATACCTACCTCCAGATTTGAAGTCGAGTTTACAACTAGAACACGATAAGCACAAGTGGCTGCATTACAAGCACGATAAGGAGTGGTCACATGAAAATTTTGGATCACATGATTGAGCAGGATCCTATCCAGATTTAACAAGAATTTTCAACAACTTTAACAAATCTCCATCTCCAGTGACTGTCGTAAATCAAGAGTGGTCCATAAGAATCCTTCAGATAAAATTGTTATCGTGAAAATTTCAACTAGAAGACAGCATCCAATCTTACCTCTGGAATAAAAATGCTGATACAGCCACCCTTCACTGCGTATACATCGTCATGTGGTAGTCATCGTGAGCTTCTCGGCCCATATGGTAATATAATAAATATACGATTATAGGATATTTGAAAATAATCTTAACCAAAGGAGCAAAACCAGTGGTGCCATAATTCATCTGACCGTATGAGCAAGCCAACAGCTGTAAGCACAATTTTTTCGGAGTATGTAATATATTCAACCAGCAGATTGCATAACCAAAGTTCAAACATCCAATGATGCAGGGACACAAAAAGTTTGATTTTACAGCATTACCAGATTGGTTATTTTATAGAAGACAAATGAAAGGTCTAAAAGGAAATAAACCATTGCAGGCAGAAAATAAATTAGCAAAGAAATTTGTGACACATATCAAGGTCTTCAATCTTAGTCCGGTTGACAATGTTTCCGAGGTCGTCTACTCAACAGAAATTAAACAACCATAAAACTCCTAATCACACAGCTGAGAGCTATAAAGATAGTGAACTATTCTAATACAAACTGCCAGAGGAAGGAAACAACATGGACAAAGGCACGCTGGAAGCATAGGTTCTTGGGAGCACAAAATGTGGAGCTTGGTACGTTATGGTGTCTGGACTTGGCAATTTTCATAGTAGATAAGTTCTTCGGATATTGGTGCTCCTAAATAAAAGCATCAAGGTTGGCCATGAGTTTTCCAGACCCTGTTTCATCTGGTCTTCCGGTATAGGCAGTAGGCTTCATCAAAAGAGGTAGTAGGCTGGCTTCGGGCTTCAGATATCTCAGCTGTTTTGTTGTGAAGGGAAACGAAACAAAGGTTAAACAAGAGCATCAGCTTTTAATAAAGGACATTGGCTAGGTCATGATAGCAAGCTGCTGTAAACTTAGTATGTGACAATACAGATGATTATATTCTCTATCAACCCAAACAAAGGAATTTAAAGGCAAACCATAATTTACCTGTCCTCACCATCAAAAATTAGTAACCATAATTTTTACGCCGTGAAACAGGGTTTTGTCCAGATCTGATGACAAAAAGTAACAATCAATGATGATGCTTGTCCACAAAAAAAAAAATTATTAAACATCTAGGTCTTTTGCAAATATTGTATAAAAAAAATGCATAAATGCATAGGGGAAAAAAAAGTCACATGTCATACATACAAGAAAATGTTAAACTACAGGCTTTTCTCCGGCTGCCAGTCTTATTCATCCAATCTTTAAGATTAAAACATTTAATTTAATAGTATTTATTATCCTCACAAGGGGCCAACAATATGCATTCAAAGGCTTTAAACCCAAGACAACCTTCCTCCCAACCACCTAATGGCAATTTTCCCTACTAAAATGAAGTAGACATAACTGCCAGGAGAAAGATCTTACCCAGAACCGCCAGTACGTCCAGAGGAATAACCACCATAGGCTCCATAACCACTACCACTCTGTGAAAATGAAATGACATATTAGTCACCAACAGAAAAAATTATTAGACTAATAAAATAGTAGTTGCATACATACACACATGGGTGAGCACAGTGCATAAAATTACCTGAAAACCACCATAATTACCATACCCATCGCCAGCTTGCAAATCACCAGAGCCGCCATATCCACCGGAATAAGAATGTCCTCGCCCATGTCTTCTACTATCTCTGCTCTCATATTTCGAAACATCTGAGGAATCCATCGACATAGGAAGGTACGGAAGAACAGGCACAAAAGCAGAGACGGCACCATCCCTATCGAAAAGATTTGCTCTCAACCGTGAGGTTACTTGCACAAGAGCGTCCTTCGCAATATCAAGATCTCCAGCAATCTAACACAAATTCATAATAAGCTAAGACATTAAAATACACAAATTCATAATAAGTTAAGACATTAAAATGCGATGTACAATTGGATATAGGAGCGCATACTTGAGAATACTCAAACTAATGCACTGCTCATAGCGAAACATTTACCTGTACCATCTCATCATCGGCGGATGCAACCTTGGGAAGATTTTCTTTTGAAAGTATGCGAATATTAGCTTTGGTGATTCTCCTCATCTCACTAATTATAGATCCACCTTTTCCAATAAGGCAACCAATTCGAGACGTTGGCACTAGTAGACGGGTTGTGAATGAGGTAAGACCTGAATCTCTTTCAACTTTCTCGCTGCACCTGGGTTGCAAGCGTGTTGCTGCTTCGATTGTTGGAGAGAATGTGTCTTCAAACAACTGAAAAAATATCAAGGAAAATCATTAACGACAAAACTATCTTAATTCTTCTTCATTTGCTTAAAGGAACATCCTATTAAAACAATAAAAGCGTACCTCTTTGGCGGATATAGTTATTATACAATCATCTCCTTCAGCAGCTGCACTATCAACTTTAATATGTGCTCCTGACTCTTGCCTGATTTGATTGATTATAAGACCACCCTTGCCAATCACGCCTCCGATATTTGCAGTATGGCAAACCAAACGAATAGAAAATTCTTTTGAAGATGCTTCATCCCTTGGAGCTGAGTAAAAAGACCGTGACCAGTCTCCACTCTCACCTTTATATCCCCCATAAGCACCCACTAGTGGAGTTAATCCCACAATTGGGCCACCAGCAGAACCCACAAGTGAACCACCAGGAGGATAAACATTGGGCACGGCAGAAGCCAGCATGTGCTGGGACCGAGATGGATTGTCGTGCAAGCGAGATGCAATTTGATATAGAGCCTTCCTCACAACAGAGGCTTCGCCGGATATCTAAAGCATTCCGAAAACCGACAAGAGACATAACTAAACTAGGAACTTCACTCAGCTCAAACATAATGCAACCTTATGTAGTCTAATATTCAAAAGTAAAGACAAGTCTATAATAAACAAACAATATTAAATTTCATTATTCTAGTATCAACTAAAGAATATGGCTTATGTCTAGGCAAATAACAAGTTCCCTTAATATCCAAGTAAAAAAGACAGATATCTTGGCATCAAGTATTCCCCAAGAGATTGGAAAAATATATTTAGTCAAAAAATTACCAAAGAAACACGGACAAAAAATGACTTTAAAAGGATCTCTCCAAATTACCTGCACAAGTTCATCAGAATTCAATGCACAAAGAGGCAAATGCTTGTCCTTCATAATTCGAACATTGGCACCAGTTTCACTACGAATATCCTGAACTATCTGTCCACCTTTCCCAATGATACATCCAATCTGATCGGATGGTACAAGAAGCCGAGCAGTTACTTGTGGAACTTCCTCTGTGTCCTCGTCAGCAGCCAAGTCATCAGCAACAACTCTGTCATGCACCTTAAAAAGAGCATCTTGGGCTGGACAAAGAGTATTGTCAATGCCATCCCATTCATTAGTTTCCTCACTTGAGCTGTATAAAGTGACAACACGCTCCTCACCTCCTTGCACAGTCTCACCAATCCTTATTTTTGACTTACTCTCTGCCCTTAATTGCTTAACAATCTCCCCTCCCCTTCCTATAATACTTCCAATCTTCTTTCCAGGGCATAAATACCTGTACACAGTATCTTCTGGTCCAATAGAAAAAGAATCTCTATCATTGCCATGATTTCTCCTTTTATTTCCTCCATCATCTGCGTAGTCAGATTGAGAATGGGAACGCTTTCCATAACTATTCCTCTGACCGGCCATTGGAAAGAGAAACTTCAATCTGTTTTATATTTTAAAAATCCACCAAAAAGGAAGATGGACAACACAAATAAAAGAAAATAGTTAAACTATATATAAAAATTACACGTAGTCCAACAATACTTGTAATAATACAATACCATCAATGAATATCATATGCTATGCATATTATGACATCGGATTTCTACGAATACATTTTTTTTTTTAAAGAAACACACATGTTTGACAAGGAGCAATTGTTCTACCTTCATTTATCCAACAAACAAACACCAATGCACACACATAAGAATGTTAGTATTTATCCTTATGCACAATATGTAGATCGGAGCACTGTCCCATCATCCATAGTTCCATACTCCATGTTTTGCAATACCAAATCAACACTAAGCATGAAACTAACAGGTTTATGAACTTCTACACATAACAACACAATTTCACAGTACATCGTAGTCAAATGTTCAGGATGCAGCCACCTCCAAACAAACTAACATAATTCCTTAATAATTTCACCTCTCTGCTGTAAAGGTGTAGACATTTGACGCACCAGCAGCATTTACCCATGATTTTTTCATGTACAACTATTGTTCTGGTGATCAAATTTACTCAAAAACTACAATATACATAAAATATTTAACCAAAAAGAGCAAGCCTTGGCATATGATTAGAATCTTTTGGAATTCAAGAATTTTGTAATTTGTCCTGATACGTATCGATTTGCAGAATCAAAGTTATTCAATCTATAAAAACCTCTCTTTCAAGAAATAAATCTACAATTGTACACAATCTGGATTGTGCCGACCAGGAATAAAAGAGTACAAAATCTTTACCCTATGTTTCCATTCAAAACAGTATGAAAACATGGAGCTTTGAGCCAGCAGAAAACCTAAAGAACAGAAGCAAGAAGATGATTGATCCGTCAATAGACGCAGATCTGGACATGGTATTACCCCATAATCCTAACAAATCGAAGAAAATCCAAAGAGCTAATAGATAAACACAACATACAGCTAGCTGTATACCTTCTCATAAATGCTACGCAAACCAGAACTCGATGAGATAGACTACAAATAGCAGTAAATAAAGGACACGATTTAATTCGACAATACCTTAGAAAATCTGCGGAGACGAAGCGAGATGCAATATCGCAGGGTTGAGACGAGAGAGAGAGAGAGAGAGAGCTAAAGGTATTCGTTTGTTTGAAATCTAGGGTTTTGACCGACTTTTGCACGGGCTCTTAAAAGACGAGAAAACATTCAGTGTTAATATCAACAGTAAATAATATTAAAATAAATCTCACAAAAATTAATAATTAATTTATCACGTAAATAAATAACTCTATATCCTCTTGTACTACTAATAATACACATGTGTATTGTACGAGAAAAAATTTTGATCATAATTTTTTTTTAAAATTTATTAGAAATCCAAGTATATGAGTAATAAAATTAAGTTATTAAAGGATAAATAATCTTGTATTTTGACATTTTTTTAAGATAAATTAAGAATTCGAAATTTTTGCATGGAAGTTAAAATTTTATAATAGATCATAAATGTTTCTCGTCAATTATCAACCATTAGCAAATGAAATTTTATGTAAATTGATAAGATAGATTATGGATAAAATTTAAGACTAAAAAAATTATGGGTAATTAAGTTGGTATGATTTCTTTATATTATATCTATATAATATTTTGATGAGATTGTAATTGGAGTTTTGTTTTAATATTTCCATATTGTGTTTATTGTAACTTGTAACAATATTATGATACTACTAAATTGAAATTTATGCATGAAAAAAATAGTAAATATGGTAAAAAATGATTTCTTAGGTATAGGTATCCTTTTCCATTTAATAAATATGATTGTTTCATCTTTTTAAGATGTTGGGTCATGTAGGAATAACATAGCTTCTCTTTGAAGTGTTTGTATTTTTTATTCAACTGTAAACAAAAGTTAAACCTAACAAAATTTAATTATTGACCAACCAAATAATTGGGGAAATAAGTACCAAAAAAATTCATGGCATTTGAAATAAATAGACAATTAGTAGTTGGTAAATGAAGGATATTACTACTCCAATTTAACCCGTATGAAAGAGAAAAGTCGAGGATAGAGTGATAGGGAGTTATTTTGAAGAACAAATGGATCTTCCAACGATTGTTAATAAAAGTGAATTTGTTAAGTAAAAAATATATTGATGGCCCAAGCCTAAGGGCCTAGTTCAAATTATAAGTACGGTCCAAGGTTATAACCCATTTCTGAGAGATCCAACAAATCGAGCTTAATATGGTCAACTCGAACAAGCTCATCAAGATAAAGGAGCTACTTCAGCAGGGGAGTATGTAAGGTCATCCAAGAGCCTCCTATACCACTTTGGAGTAAGAGTCATTCAATAATCTCCTCTTTACCCTTGAAGTAAGGGTCATCCCAAAAGCTTCATCCTCGCTGTCTTGGAGAGAGTCAACTTTCACTTCATCCTTTTACCGAGTCCTATGGAGAGTAGTGTAATTGTCTTGCCTATTGATAAGAGGTCACCACCTCCGCCTTTACCGGATCAATTATTTAATTACTATTAAATCATTTAAATCCGTTATGAGCACCAGAATAGCTATTCAATTACTATGTGTTATGAAACGACTATAAATTGTAAACCCTCGCCAATATTTGGGGAGCATCATCAGACTCATTCGAAATAATTATTTCCTCCTCTCTCAAAGCTTGCGACCTTCTGCTCTCCCACTACACTTGAGTTAACAAAATTTCGACGACCCTTGTCATTTCAAGTGGACGTAGGTCATCTTAACCGAACCACTATAAACTTGGTCTTCTCTCTCCCTCTATTTTACTTTATTTTATACTATTTAATTGACAGGTGGCATGTAAACTAATTTGTGCATCATCATATATGAAGAGAGATAACTAACATGCAGAGAGACAAATTAGTTTACAGGTGGCGTGAAAACTAAAATTTTTTTCGCTTGTTACACAGACAACTAAACCATAATATTCTAGTCTATCACGAAGACATCTTATTCCTATCGTAACATTAGAATACTCAAGTCATTTATTCACAATAGAACTCATAAGCTAGAAAGTCACATAGAAACAGATAAACCTTTACATGTAGATAAAATTAAATGTTAGCGTACATACATACCTTGCTGAAAATTTATCATGTTGATGACTCCTCTACGGGAGCTTTTTGAGCAGCGTTCTTTATGGCGCTCGTCCCTCGTCCCTGGACCTGACACCAATTATTCAAAATCTCATTCGAGTATTAATAAATAATACCACTTTACTCGAATTGGTTTACACAAAGTAAATTTCTTAATTTAATCAATCCACATTCAATCACTCATCCACATCTAGGAATATCAATTACTCAAAAAAAACATAAATAAATAAACTAGTAGTTATAATTTATTCGAGTCACATGAGAATAATCCATTCATAGGTAGTAAGATTACCCACTCGAAACCATGACATTCAATGTAAACATTTCTCATAAAATTATAGTAAGACCCGAACACGCATGACCAATATATAATATTTATCATAAGCATATTCACATGTGACATACATGCATAGGATTGACATTTAGTATTTAATTATGAGTAATGATACGAGACATAAACATGAACGATAAATATTTTAAATATTTAGAGATAATTTTATAAAGAATGATTATAAGGAGAATTGTTTTAATTTAAAGTGTGAAAAATTAAATAAGAGTGTTGACTTGTGATATTATTTTATTATTTTATGTACATTAGTGCATGTGAAATTAATTTAGGTGACAACCATGTGACATCAATTTATTGTTAAAACAAATAAATAATAATTGAATAAAATATATAGAAGGAGTGGTTAAGGGTCTACCCATTTTTTTACCCCATCCTAAAATTATTTAAAAAATATTTATTAATGTCAAATACTTAACTCATATTCTGATCCATCCTAACATTATTTAAAATGTATTTATTAATGTGATAAATTAATATTTTATAATATAAAAATTAAATATAAAATAGTTAACAAAGATAATAAGAAATTAAAAAATTTAAATAGTTATCAAAAACTTAGAATTAGTTATGCATGCCACATGTTATAATTTAATTTGAAGAGGTCAATTAAATAATTCAAAAATTAAATTTGCAGAGGAAAAGCTTCTCAAACACTCTTTTGTATATATATATATATAGTTATTTACTAATAATGATATATAGGTTAGTAAAACATCATTTGCATGAATTGTCGTAACACATTAAATACATGTATATATAATATACATAAAGTACAATAGTACTTTCTAAATTAAGATTGGTGGGAAAGTAAAATTTTTCTCTTCCCTCAAAAACATTTGAAGTATATGAGTTAGAGGGCAAAGACATGAATTTCACATTAGTTATTGAGAGTTCTTTATGGAATCATCTTCATCTATAAATAGAGGGAGAATTTCATCCTCCACTCAAGGTCTCAAGGAATCCTCTTAAAGAGGAGGCTTATATAATGAGAACTTCAAGTTATATATATATATAGAGAGAGAGAGAGAAAAAAAAAAGAATAAATAAAAGGAGGAAGGCAATGTTTGAACATAACCCACATTCGAATGTGCTTTACTCCCAGTACTTTTTCAAAATCTCAGTTTTCTAATAGAAACTGAGATACTGAGATTTCGGTTCGTTCAAACGCAACCCACATTCAAACATGTTTTGCTCCTAGTACTTTTGCAGAAATCTCAAAATTGAGATACTGAAAGTTGAGTACATTCAAACGTGATAGGTATTTTGTTTGAAATTAGTCTCTAACGACTATATTATTGCAGTCTTTTTAAGTGGTGTATTTTGCCATGGTTTTGAAGGTTTGCACTATTTCATTAAGAGATGCATAAAACACTATAAATAATATTCAAATGTAAGAATAAATAATGAACAATTTAATCCCTATTTTTCTTCTTGATTCAAAGCTTCTATATTTTCTGATTTTTTATTCGGGTTGAGTTTTGATTCCAAGATTAGTAAGAAGTGTAATATTTGATAATCTTAAAGTTAGGCATTGTATCATAAGGGTAGAATTTTCAATAGTTCATCTACATTATAAGTGAAAAAATTACTATCTTGAAGATAGCGAGTACCGTGCCTTACCTAGCGATCTATCTTTTTCGATTTTTGATTCTTTGCTTTTCTACTACTTGAAATTGTTTTACCACACTGATTTCTACAACATCTTTCTCCTAAATTGATTTTTAATATGTACTAAATATCTCTAAGATATCTCATTTCACTTAGAGCAACTTAAAGGATGCTAGTTAAAATAGTTAATCAAAATATATTTTAATTACAATCTCTATTTTAAAGAGTCATTTATACTAAGTTCACTCCACGTTTCCAACAATATTTTATATTTTAACTAACTACTTCAACTAAGTTCAACTAACTATCAATAATTAAAATCTAACACGCTACATCATCACCTCACACACAAACAATAAGCGAATTTGGGGTTCGATAAATCAGATGAATCAACATAAATGAAGATCACCCAAACAATAAACGAATTCAAATCACCATTTAACACAAAAAATAATATTTAATTTCATGCTTAGATTCAAGATTACATAATAAATTAGATGAATACAATAGAGAGGGGATTTGGGGTGAGGTAAGTCAGATGAATCACACAAACAATAAATCAAATGAAAAATATTTTCGGTATTTTGTTTGGATGAGTGTATGCATAGAGAGGGATTTGGGTGTGGATGATGGGTGGGTGTGTGCGTAATGGGTGTGTGTGTGCATAGAGAGGGCTTTGGAATAGAGGACGTTGTGTGAGAGTGTGCGATTTGGGCCGGGGGATGTTGTGTGATTTGTTGGATGTAGATAGGGTTTCTCAATAGGGATTCTAATGGTCTACATATAGAGAGAGAGGGAGACAAAGAGGAGCCAAGAGAAAGAAATGAGGATTCAAGGAATATAGAGAGAGAGCTCCATACATGGGTGATGAAGCCTTAAAGACGATGAAGCCTCCATGAAAACGATGAAGAGGAAATTGATGCAAATATACAAATACCGAGTGTCATTTCGCTCGTCAAAAGTAACAAGTGAAAGAGTGTAGGTAAAATAGTTAATGGAATAGACAACTTGTTGTGGAGAAATTTTAGGGGTTAACTATTTAAAATAGCAAAGATAAAGCTTTTAAAGTATCCATTGGAGTTGCCCCTACAATCTTTCTCTACTCTTTCTCACATACGCAAAACTCCATCGGGTGTCCCTGTAATTACGCCAATGCTCAAGGGTGTTATTGAAATTTATCCACAAACTAAATATTGATAATCGTCGTATATATATGTTGGCCCACTGAAATTTTATTCGATAGCAATCCTCCGAGATTAGAAGAGAAACCTGATCGAGACCACAAAAAACCCAGCTGTAGAAGAGACGAACCCCCAAACTAGTATTTCATCGGCGCCACCCCGCACCCCCACCCCCACCCATATTTATCAACCAGTTCGTTCCAAATCAGACAGATTATAACCTCACAAGTTTTATCCTGAAAACCCTAATCGACAGATGTCGACATCGGGGCAGCCTCAGTTCAGGTACACGCAGACGCCATCGAAGGTGCTCCACTTGCGGAATCTTCCGTGGGAGTGCACCGAGGAAGAACTTATCGAACTTTGCAAACCCTTCGGCAAAATCGTTAACACCAAGTGCAATGTCGGTGCCAATCGGAACCAGGCCTTTGTCGAATTCGTAAGTTATTTCTATCACACTATCATATGTTTTTCCTATTTGATTTGATAACTTAGGGGTTTTCTCAAGAAGTAAATGGATTTCGACGTTTTTTTGATGTTTAGATTGTCTTTGAGATTTGTATACATGGAAGTATAGAATTGATAATGACGAGGCTTTATAAAACACATGAGGCTTTATTCTTGGATTGATGAATTGATTTACGTTTCTCCTATGGTATGTTGTACATGATGATTGTATACGGACTACTTTGCTGGTTAGCTTCTGCCGTGCCATTTAAGGATCTTCTTGAAGCTCACAATGCAAAATAAAAGGTTACAAGAATTTATTAATCTTTTGATTAGTTTTTCTTTAAGCAACTGAGTGTTACAAGTTTTTGTAACTCTTGTATATTGTCTTGAAGGGAAAAAAAAAAGTCAAATTGGTTGATATTTTATGAAATACCCATGGGATTTTGAGCATTTGTCAGCCATGTTTTATTGGAATCCATATGAATGAAAAAAGTAAATCCCAATGTAATTTAAACGTAGTTCAAGGGCCTATTATGAGTACATCACCAGATTATTCTGCTATTCGTCCTGCCCTGCTTTGTTCAAATAGAAAATTTGCTGAGACTTGAACAATGTTGTTATGTTGCTTATCCATGCTTGCCTTTGATTGTGGACCATCAGTGGGTCATTCTCGTGTGCAGTTTTCTTCTACACCATCAAATGCTCTTCGATATGTACTTTATTGTTCCCCTTAATGCGTCTACAATTTGGTTACTTCACATAAACTTGATGGGATGACACTTTTTTTAATTGCAGACAGATCTTAATCAGGCCATCAGCATGGTTACTTATTATGCTTCGTCATCAGAGCCAGCACAAGTTCGTGGTAAAACTGTGTATATTCAGTATTCAAATAGGCATGAAATTGTAAACAACAAAGGTCCAGGAGACAATCCAGGCAATGTCTTGCTGGTAACTATCGAGGGCGTAGAAGCTGGCGATGTCAGCATTGATGTTATTCACTTGGTAAGTGTTTACCTATCTAGTTCCTTTTGTCACATAAAAAGTCCTCCTATCCAAGATTCTAGGAATTTTATGTATCTCGTAGTTTAGTATATTTTTACTAATATTGTCATATAAAGCATTTGTTAATACTATCTATGATGTATGGTTATCTATGACACAATCAATATTTACGTGAGTCCAGTCTCATCTTATGTGAGGATTCTTCTTCACTGTACTGCATTGGAAAGATACTCATTGGATTTTGATTGTTTCCTTCTTTCTGTTAACTTTTTTGGCTAATATATATTTTTTTTAATATTTTCTTATTTGATCTTTTTGTTTTTCTTCAGAGATTGCTGTCTGAGATTTACGTACTAATATCACAGTGTGGTATATGTTCTAACTGTAGTCAGTGTCATACCAATCAAGTTCTTCTGGAACAAGAACTTGTTTCGAACAATTAATTGACTGCTTTCAGAACTTTGATTGCTTGTATATGCCTTTCTCTGCACTGTTTGACATGATCCTTTGCTTTTGGATTCTCCTTGTGTTTGATTGGGAAATTTGGGTAGTTTTTAGTATCAAAACAACTTCACATATTTAGTTATTGTAGTTGTTCATGAGAAATAGCACCCTCATTAGATTATGTTTCAATTTTAACTGAAATCGGTTGAATCACAGATGATGATGGTTCTTATTTAGTTCCTTTTGTTGGAGACGGTCTGGATATATTATCATGTGCGTCATACTCCTTTCTAAGGTCTATCTTCACGCTTACATATACAGGTGTCATTCTGCACTTATTTCTGATCTGTTGGTATTTCTTTTTTTGTCACGTTGTATTGATGATCGGGATAGTTTCTAATGGTTTATTGTTTTAATGTTGCTTATCTTCTGTATTGAGGTATGCTCAAATCTGATTGGAATGTATGTCAGGTTTTCTCAGCTTTTGGTTTTGTGCACAAGATTGCTACTTTTGAAAAGGCTGCAGGTTTTCAGGTTAGTGGATGGATAATGGACTGGATTTTTTTATTTTTTTGCAATTTTGTTTGTATCCCTGCATCCTCAACAATTTTGTGGCGTACCTCGGCAGGCATTGATCCAATTCAGCGATTCTGAGACTGCATCTTCAGCCAGGGAGGCATTAGATGGAAGAAGCATACCCAGGCAAGTAATTCTGCTTCTTTTATTTTTTATTGTGGATGGGGCAGGAGGGGAGAGGGGTTATATCGTTCTTGTTTGGTGTGGAATCTTCTCTTTCACTTTTCGTCCATTTCCTACAAACATCTTTGTTTGGGAGTAGACAGCATTCTCACTTTGGTTTAGTGTCTCACTTTCAGGTACTTACTGCCTGACCATGTGGGTTCAAGCTACTTGCGTATCTCATATTCTGCCCACACAGATTTGAACATTAAATTTCAATCCCATCGGAGCAGGTAATGATGAATGCATCAGGTCTTTGATTTGATGTCTCTTTATTTTTCAATATTTACCCGCGCTACTGCTTGCTTCCCCCTGTTGTTGTGCTTGTATGATTGTGATTTGGCAGTTGAAGTCTTTCTAATTGGCATATGTGCCTTTTGCCATCTAGGGGATTCTGAAGCTTGGAAGGTAGAATATTGATGTGTTTTTCATGGACTCTTAATAATTTTTTTCATCTTATGGTGGTGGTTTACTCACTCCTATAACAGCAGTATTTTCAACTATGAGGTTTTTTCAAGTCTTTGTTGGAAAATTTTGAAGGAAGCAACTTTTTAACTAATAGTTGAAGACAACAAATTATTTTTCTTCCTGACTGCATAGACTTCACAATCATCGATTTCTATTCTCAGCAATGCATCCACTTTCTGTTGCTGTGTATGCTCTCCTGGTCTAGTAGTTCAATTTCATTGTTGTAACTTCATTGTTTCCTACGTTTTAGGTTTTGTAAACTGTAGTGTTGGAAATGTTTTGAATGAAGGAGTGTTAGGTGTTTTAATTGAATGAAGCAATCTTTTTATCAGTCATTTTCAGGACAACAAATTATTTGCTTTCTCATTGATATACATCACAACCATGGACTTCCAGTCTCAGCAATACTTTCACTTTTGACTGCGGTGCATGCTATTCTGGTCGTTCCTTGTTTTGTAGTTTTGGTCATGGGACTTATTTTATTAGAAAATTGTAGGTGCAACCTTTATTTTGTGAAATGATAGATGGTTATCTCTTTTCTTACTCAGGTTTCATCAGTAGAATTTAATGCTCTGTTCAGGTGCAACTACTTGTGAGATCTGATAAGAGATCTGTTAACTTGGCTGCTGCAATGGTTTGTTAATCTCAAAGACACTGCATTCTGTCCCGTGTTAGTCTGTTCAACGAATTATTGAATTTGCTTTGTGTGTGGTATCCAACCTAGCAAATCACCTAATGTAATCAAATGCCAAGCACTAGGGAAGTTCTGTTGAAGGTGGGCATTTTTTCTAGCATTAGATGCTCTGGTGTTACCACGTGCCTTAATCAGGAGCTGCTCTTCAACCTCTTAATTATTGACTTTATTGTGTTGTTTTTTTGGTGTCCAACTTAGCAAATTATCCGATGCAACAAAATGTCGCTCTTTAGGAAAAATTTGTTGAAAGTGGGCCTTTTACCATAGCATAGCATATAATGCAATGGTGTTACTACATGCCTTTAATCAGGAGCTACTCTTTAGGCAAAGCTTTGTGCTTCAACCTCATAATTAGATGTCCATTATGCTAAAGATACCATCCCACCCTCAACAATAATCATAGCTCTTGACCCTTGGCCCTTTGATCTACTTAAAGATTGAAAACTCAAAAATGGAGTTACTACATGCCTCCATCTTGTTTGTTTAAATTTGCGGTCAGCTCATATCAGTCACAACAAACATCATCTTCCTTACCAAATAAGCTTCTGACTAACCTGAGAATTGGAGCCCGTGATTTAGGTCTCTATCATTTTGTCCTATGCAGCATCCATGACATCTAGATATATGGTCCTTTACTAGCTTATTGGCAACCTCCCTAGACCTTGCAGTGGAGGACTCGTTTTTAAATGGTTGTCTTGTATTAGCCTCAAATGCACCTGCATGGTTGTGATGATTACATAATCCTTTATCATGATTCAATGGTTGTTAAGATCCATATCCTTTTGTGAAGTGAAGGTTGTTAGGCCTCAGTTCACAGCGTTGGTACTAGTGCTTGGCCCGTGTATTTATAAGATTTTTCTATAGTGGCAACTTGTAAAATGCACCTTAACCAACTATTGAGGAGCTGTTTTTGTTATGGATCAAAGAGGTTAGTAGGAAAATTTTGTGAAATTAATATTGATTTAAGACTCTAATGTCTTAACTTAGTTAAGTTCCTTTGTCACAAGACTCAATGTGACTGCAATACTTGACAACTGGCTGTCACTTTGGAGGGCCTCCATCTTTGCATTTAATGAGTTCCTTTTGTGCGGAATCCACAATTGGGTGAGCCGGTGTTTCTGATTGATTTTGTTGGGGTTTTCTTGTGTTTGTAAGAGATATGTGTTTGCATTTTATTCTCTTCTCTTGACCAGAATTATAGTACTGCTCTTATATAGACATAGATTTAAGTTTTACCTATTTTCTTTAAAATATGGTTTATGCAAAACTTTGTCGAGTTTGTTATTGAGGATGATGTGAGATTTAGCTACCTCTTAAGATTTTGTAATCTTTTCCGGTCGCCCCTATATGCCTACTAAAATTAATGCGAAAATTGGTTGTGCAATACATCGATTGTGACTATGCAAGTGGAGTGGGTGTGCTTAAAGAAATGTGCGGCAATATCACGTGCATCTATAGCATGTATGTAATTTGATCGATCTTCTCTGCTTTTATTCGTAAGAATTATTGAATTTGGAATCTTAGAAGTTTTTAGATATCCTTGTATCTTGTGGAACTTCTTATTCTACGGTCTCAATTACAATAATCGTTTACTATAATTTAATAGAAAAATTGATGATGGCAGTGGACTGGGGCGGAGGCGGGGGGGGGGGTAGTCTCCACCCCCGTATCCGCTTTAAAAATATTCGTCCATCCCTGTTAACCGAGGAATATTCATCCCCGTCCCATGGGTTAATTTTGATCCTTGTACCCGCCCCATGGGGTAATTTTGATCCTCGTCCCCGCCACCGCCACCTGTCCATAATACCAGATTACAACGTATCCAACATAATAGATATGTTAGAGCCAAAGTGGAGATGTTGGGCTGGTGATATCCTCGTTGATGTCATTGTCCTAGTTGGAGCCGAGAGTGTTGGGAGAAATAAGGAAAAACAAAAGAGCAGCTGCAAAGCCTGCAATTGATATATATATAGTGGGTCTAGCAGGGGAGGGGGCAAGGACAAGGGCAAGGGCGGGTCCATCCCGGCATAGGTTTTTACGAGTCTCCCTGTATAAGTCCAACATGCAATACGTATGGTCCATCCCAGTCCAAACGAGACGGGGTTTGGACGAATCTTCGCTTTTTCCCGGTCCACTCTCATCCCTAGGTGATATATTAAACATGAAAAATTAAGAAACATGTATCATATGTCGCAAGAAAAAATTCTTTAACTATTGATGTCAAATGCTATAATATCTCTTTTTTTTCAAGTTCCTTACTCTCTGTGTGTGTTTCATGCAATGGGGGAACCACCACCATGGTATTTTTTAAATTTATATAATTTTATCATGCTCTTGTTAATATTTCTTTTTGCCCGTGCCACTGTGATGTTTCTGGTTCTTCCACTGGTTCCATCCGTGGTAAATTTCAGAGTCAACATATTACAACATTCCTCAGGGGTGCTTCAGATTTGTTTACATTGAGCAATGCATTCCACTCGGAATGTTTGCATGATAGACAGTTCCTGAAAATTCGTTGGTTTTCCAAACTTGCTTTTCTATATTTCTTTGTCAATCTCTTGCTTTTCTATGTTGTGAATAATTAGTGGAATTATTTGCTTCATCGTTCAGGGACTATACAAATCCATACCTTCCTGTGAATCCTACTGCAATTGAGGGATTTGTTCAGGTATTTTTTGGTTTCTAGAATTTCCTGTTTGTTTGTAATATTTGGCAAGCACTTATGAGAGTAATATGCAGCCTGTTGTAGGTCCTGATGGAAAGAAAAAGGAACCTGAGAGCAATGTGCTTCTTGCAACGATCGAGAATATGCAATATGCTGTTACAGTGGACGTCGTTAAAACGGTAACAAATGTATTATGTTTTTCATGCTTGATGGTTTTCTCTCTCTCTTTTTCTGTTATCTTCTATTTTCTTTTGTTTTTTTTGAGGGTTGATGACTTGTTTTGTTATTCATTCATTGCAGGTATTCTCTGCATTTGGTACTGTCCAGAAAATTGCCATATTTGATAAGGGTGGTGGTGGAACGCAGGCACTAATTCAATACCCTGGTAGGTTTCACCTCTATGTAGAAAAAATGGCATAGCTTGTATGCATTTTGGTGCTTTAACATTCATCATTCAATTTCACTATAAGCGTTAATGTTGCTTTTGGACATAGCCTGCATCACCTTAGATATTTTTATTGTTCTTGTGCTGCTCAACATAGTATTTTTCTTGTCTACTACTGTATTTTTTTTCATGAAAAGCCCTCATGTTTAAATGATGTAGCTTTATGCTATAATGGCTGGGATTTATGTGTACATATGTCTTACCCGTTTTGCTGACCATTAACATCAACTTACTTTTATCCACTTGCTTTGCATGTTTGTCTATCTTTTCTCTCGACTTATTGGGTGAGTGTGCTGATTGACATGTAAACTTACTTTATTTCCAGATGTCACTACTGCAGCAGTTGCCAAAGATGCTTTAGAGGGGCACTGCATATATGATGGTGGCTATTGTAAGCTTCATCTATCATACTCTCGTCATACTGATCTCAGTGTTAAGGTATAAATATGTGCTTTTAAGTTGATGTTCACGAGAAAAAATTAGGTGGATAAAATGTTAAAGGCGTCCTTGCAAGAAAAAGATGGTCCGTAGTTGATCAAAAAAAATTGGCCCAAAAAAAAAAAAAAAGATTTGGTCCTTGAGTGTATCCTCCTTAATGCTTATTTTTCTTCTCCATTCCTTGAATTTGACTGGTCATATTTACATATTTCAGGCGTACAGTGACAAAAGTCGAGATTACACCGTCCCAGAATCAGGGTTTCTTGCAATGCAAGAAGCTTCTGGTGTCCAACCTGCAGCAACAGTTTGGCAGAATCCTCAGGCTGCTCCAGGGTTTCCTGGTGGTGAATATACTGCTGGTGGTGGTGTGCAGGCTCAAGCTCCTGTGGGACCAGCGTCGTCGTGGGAGCCAAACATGCAAGCAGGCAGACCAACCTTTGTTTCAGTTCCCAGCACATTTCCTGGTCAGACATATGCCTCATCTTCTATTCCAGCGTATGCCACTACATCAATCCATGCTGGTTCTTCAACCCTTTATCAAACCAGCCAAATTAATCCTAGTGTTCCTCCAATGAGAGTTACACAGCCCATGCATCCTCAACATGTTCGGCATGGTGGTATGTCACCTCCTGGTCAGCCTCCTTACTTCAGCTAGTCAAGATCTTTTTATTGTTTGAGGTTATCATGCTTTCCTGCATTTATTTTCCTGTTGAAGCACAGCAGAGTTCTTCATACTTGAATTTGTTTGGTATTATCTGACTCTAGTGTGTTCTGCTCTTCTCTCTAACTGGTAAATGGCAAATTGTTCTTTATTGATTTGTAATTGCAACATTAGAATTTCGTTGGATCTATCTATGCTAAAGGAAGAAATCAGTGTGGTTTCTCAGCAGTTTTTGTTGGCTGTTTTGGTGGGAGTAGGAGACAGGAAAGGTGGGTTTTGCATTTGTGGGTTCAAAACTAAGTTTATTTCCATGTTCAGTCCGAGATATGTTGTCAACACCAAGGTTAAAAACTAGAAATTTTATTAGCCCTCTGAGTGGGCTTGGCTATTTGGTTATTGGTTATAGGTTATAATGGTTTTTTTTAATCCCCTTTAAATCTTTCATAGATCTTATATTACTTGAAACCTGTGATTTGGATGGTGAATATGTAGTCGAAGGGGTCACTTTGCCCACACTATTTCTTTTTCGTAAGGAAGTAGGAAGTGCTTGTATGGGTGCACAAATCCACAGTAACTCCTCACAAAGGGCTGTTCTTGGTGGTCTGCCCTGGGTGTCAATTAACTCGGGAAAACTTGGACTCATCCAATTGTACTTTAGAGCTCACCATGGAGATGGTACTCCCTTTAGCAAGTGTCGTTGCACATTGGAAAATTATAAGAAAAAAAAAATGAAGATAATCTAGCTGCACTGCTTCTGTAAAATGAAGGCAGAGATTTCTATTTTATTTGGAGGAAAGATTGACTGGCTTTCTTCCCTTAACTTTGTGTGTGTGCGTGCGTGTGCAAGTATGTATGTATGTGACCTTAATGTGACGGCAGGTGGTTACATTCATGTCATTTGTGCACTCAGAAATTATGCTAAATACAGCATGCCCTATTTATTTGACTGTTCTTAACAGTTGCTCTATCTGGACCATTTGAATTACAATGTCGTACTAATTTTGGGCCATTGTTCAAGGCCACCGACAAATAGTTGCTACAATCAGCAATTTGCTAAATTTGATCGAACATCACCCTGAAAGATCAAGTTAGGTTGGGAACTCCTTGGTATTCCATTATCTGGATCCAAAACATCATGATTGAACTTTATAATAGGACATTTGGTGCTCTACGGTGAGATCATAGACGAATTTTCAGTTGCAGATAACAATGATCGAACTGAAAATTATGATTCAATCTATAAGTTATGACTCAGACCGATAAAGTTGAGAATGGAATTAATTTTAGTTTCAAACCATTATAAATCCCGAAAATGGAGTTTTCAGATAATAGGAATCTCTTATAGAAGACTGGAACCGAGGAGGAAGGCTTTGGATTACCTTCAAAACTTTGGAGGTCTTCTCTACAAGCAATCGTGTACAAGGTCCTTGTTACATATACCCGCTGTTCCAATTTACCGGGTTGTTGGAACGGATTGAAAGCTCAATTTAGCTTAGTCCAAGTTATATAATTCTCAACTTGAGTTCAATTCAAATCCGATCTTCAACTAGACTGCTGTCCATACCTAGATTTTTCAATTTTGTTACATAACTCAGATTCAATTGTCATGTAAACCGGGTTGTGGTTTTTTTTCCTTTCAAATCCAGCCGGAAAACTTAATAGTCTCTGCCCAAGTATTGAACAATTTGGGTAGGATTTGGATTTAGTTTAAGATTAACTAGTTCAAGATGGATTGAAATTCGTTTTTTAAGACAGTATCACGTGTCCAACATGTAATCATTTTATTAAAAACTTAATGGATCATCTATTTAGGGACTAAAATAATGTGAATTGAATATTTTAGAGGCTAAATTGATACAATTAGAATTAAACTGACAAAAAATACATATTTTAGAGACTAAAAATATTATTAACCCAAAAAAAAAAAAAAAAAAAAAAAAGTATCCCTACACGGGCTAAGGGAGGGACCTTTTGCTGGGGCCTCAAATAGTGACCACACCACTTGATCTGAAAACTCAAACGTGGTTGGGGCTCCACATTTTCACAATATAGCGGTGCATGAGCATCTTGTAAGGGTTTCAGTCAAATCCGTAGCCATGTGACCACCATGTGTATCTGAGTCGTGAAATGTACTTTTAACTAATTTAAGCACTGATCAATCAAATTATATTGTTCAAGCATGCTTCATGCATTCTCAACATCAACCCCCCCCCCCCCCCCCCCCCCCTCTTCTCAACCAAGTGAAAAGTCTTCGGTTGGGAGAACAACGCGTAATGCCTCAACCCAAAATTGCCTGTATGTTGGCAATCACTGTCGAAGTCCCCATTTTTCAGTTGAATTTAGCTGGAAGTGTAATTTCTTTTCCAAATTGTACACCCATATTTTACGTGTCAAAGTTCCAAACGTTTCTTTGTAAGTTTTGTGATTTTGTATGAAATAAGAGTACCGTTTCATGACATATATAGGACAAATGCACAATTCTGAGGGTTGGTGAATCCCCTTCTTTCTATCCTTTCTTCTTCACTCACTGCCTGGAATTGAGCAGTTCTGGATGCAGATTTAGAAGTGGGAGGAGATTGCAGTAATGAACTTTTTAGGTTAACTCACTTGTGGGAGGAATTGGGAGTTAATAAGTCCTCATCCTCCTAGTAGTTAATGGTCTCTTATGCGTTGCTATGTTGAGATTTCAACTTTGATTCTCATAAGAGATGCTATATTATATTTGATTCGAGGTACACGATCTACGAGTAATTGTGTACATATTAGACGTACNTGCGTTGCTATGTTGAGATTTCAACTTTGATTCTCATAAGAGATGCTATATTATATTTGATTCGAGGTACACGATCTACGAGTAATTGTGTACATATTAGACGTACGTCATAACTGTATCTGAACGCTTTGTGGTCATTCTGAATTGTCTAAAAAAGAAGTATACCAACACATAGTTAGAAATGTCAACAAAAAAAATCTTAATTCAATCAGTGGCTACAAGACAGCAATTAAAAAATCAAATAAAATGCACAAAATTTCTCAAAGTTGTCGAGCTGGATGCATTCATTCACTCCTTGATGGGGGGGGGGGGCTTCAAAGTCTCTCTCTCCACAGTGATGCTTAGTTCAGGGGTCCACGTCACTTAAGTTGGATTTTTGTTCTTAGTCTTGATCGTTACCTTTTTTTTCTTTATTTCTTGTGGAAAGAACAAGGGACTTTGCCTAAACTGCTGTTTTAAATTCAAGTTTTTCTAGCTGCAAATCATGAGTCTAAAAGACATTTGATCGGACGATTCTGTTACCAAAACAAAAAGAAGAAGCAGCAGCATTGAAGGACTAATTCTATCTTAAGCAATGTTAGGTTGACCAAAAATGGGACTAGAGAATAAGATACTAAATAATATGAATCTAATATGATAATCGATATTCGGATTTTAAACGGATAAACATGAGACCGCGATTAATATTTTTTTGTCAATTTAACATTATTCCCTTTCTATTCCCATGTGCCTACTTCACTGTAGATTTGTCCCTTAGGTGGTTGTCACCTTTTGAAGCTTATGGTCCACCTTGTTAGTCACAAAAAGAGAAAAGCTCAATATGTCCTGTTCATCCTGTGATTTAACTCCGTAACCACTTCCACATCTCAATCAATTCATTGAAGTGTTTTTCGATGCCGGTCGGTGTCCAGACCACATCAAAATGGGGCATGTCCTCTGGACACTCTATTTACTAGGAAGGGCCATGCACGTTAGCCTGTTAATACAGTTGTTGGCAACCTAATTAAAACACTAGAAAGAAACCATCACATCACAGATCCAAACTGGAGGAGAGATGTTAGACCAACTGTGCCACTCGAACTCTGCTTGTGATCGATTCGATTTTGAATTATTCAAAATCTTTTATATATAAAAAAATGAGAATGTGAGATGAGTATTGTCAATATTTAAGACGAGTTCTATTCTTCTATCTGATAGAATCAACAAAATGGGGTTCTTGATCTGTAACTTTAAAACATATGATTTCCTTCACTTCAGGTGTTGGAGTGTCCTTTCAAAATAGGGGCCAACCATTTTTTGCTCACATATGCTTTGATGAACTTGCATCGTTAGGTCACCCAAACCCATCGCACATTTGGCAGGAGGAATTAGAAAAGTGAAAAGAGAACAAGACAAAATCTGCCTAGTCCAAGTGATCGAGACTTTATCTATTAGACTTTCCATTTGAAGCTTGGCTTGTAGTGAGATTGCACTTTAGATTTTGCGAGCTTAGTTTATAGATCAAATCCTAACGATATTTAAATACTGAAGCTGAGTTTGAGCATCCTGTCAGTAAGCCGGATAGGTTCAAGCTCAAGCCGGTGATAGTCAACTCGAACTGAGCCTAAGCATACCAAAGCAGGTGTAGGGGCAAAGCTAAATATTAGCTTAAAGGACATTTTAACTAGGCTCGACTTTATAACATTAAGTAATTAATAATTTTAGACTGCCATAAAGATGACTCTAATTTTATGTGTATATATATATATATATATATATAGGAAAAATATTTAAGGGTGGGTAGCCCCTACATACATCTGCCCATGAGCATGTGCTTGCATTTACTTCAATCGATGAACTAGTACCCCAATGTACAACAAATGTAAGAACTGTCGTTGATGTCTGTTTCAGAAGCGAGACCCCATCCATGAGGTACTGTCTGCCTCGCGTAGAAATTTGCATGTCCATGTATGCCTTACATAGAAAGCAAAACCATTTACGAATGCCAAAATTCATATGTTCACACTCACACACACACACACACACACACACACACACCTGTATTTACATAATAAAATAGACTGTTGCAACGGTCCAAATAGACTGTATTCACATAATAAAAATGTGTTTTGCATAGGACACCTTAATATCTATCTGATCTTACAGCTAGAAAATTGAATTTTTAATTTATGAAAACACAACAACGGTCAATATTGATCCAATCTTCATTTACTTTGATCCAATGGTACAAAATTAATTTCAAAAATTATTTTTCCACTTAAAAACATCATTTTCATTGCAAAATCCTCAATATTAGACAACTCCATCGATTTATATCTATTATCCTCCTCCTCTGTCTCCTATCCCTTTTTTATTTTATTTTTATTCATTTAATTTTAAATTGTGTGATTAAAGAAAAAAATAAAAAATAAAATTTAATGTTATACAGTCAATTCGATTTTTAGTATTACAAAATATCTTTAGATGCGGGGTTATTACTATTGTACAAGTATTGGGGGCATTGTAATGCAAAATTTGTCAATTTGATACAAGGGAAGATGGGGCTATGAACAATTTCAATGCCAATTACTGTGG